CAATTTGCCTGCAAAGTTGGTTGTGTGTTTTTTTTCAATAATTTTAAAGAGCGTTTTTATTTGCTTCCATTTTTGGATATGTACTGGGCTCCCTCTCTGAAACACGTGACTCATTTTCCAAGACGGGTGCCAAGCCAAGGCTAATAATGTGTCTTCCCAGAATTGAAATCTTTGCACTGCACAAAAGCAAGGGTTACAGAAAAGCAAAGATATGCGACACAAAGCACAGCTAAACAAAATAACAGGGCTTTTTCTTTTTGCCTAAAATCAAACTTTGGCAGATGCTAACCCTGTCTCTTCCTTTCAGTGTGATCAATCTGTCAGCCAAGAAGCTACTCCTTCCTTTTGTCACAGTTCCCAAGTAAGGTAGCAATAAGCTGATGAAAGCAATTTCTGCAGAACTTGGAATTTTATTTTGTGCAGACTAATCTAAAAGTGCACAGATCAAAGAACAGCACATGTTACTTGTGGAGCTACGGCCATAAATAGCATTAAAAGAACTGCCTTTATGATTCATTATTTCGATCTACTGGAAGGTTTTAAAGGTCAGTAGTTGGCACTGGACAGCACAAAAGAGGAGAAGTCTTAAGAATGTTATGAAAGCTGCATTGTGCATATGACTTGTTTATTCAGAACAGCGGAGTGTAATGAGAGGGTGGTGGTTGTTATTCAGTTATATTTGCTGGAAAGCAAAAGGCCATCCAGTGAGCTGCTTGAGTAAGCAGGGATCTGAGCATGGGATTTCCCACATTTAAGCCTTACACTCAGCAATCATTGACCCAGTGATACCTTTCACTGGTTGGCCAGTTGTCTTAACCTTCCAGCCAAATCAAGAAGTAGCGTACTGTATAGTGAAAAGTCTTCTCGTTGCTTGGCAGGAGACTGAATTACCAGGGTTAATTGTTGGTTAATTGGTAAATTGTTACATTCACCCTCTGACTACATTGCCACACGTGGGTGCCAATGTTTTTGTGAAACATGTAGAGTCAGAAATGTGTAATACAAGTATAGTACAGTTTTTATAATATATAATTATATTTTTATTATGACACGCCTTGTTTTCTGGAATGCAATTCCATTTACAGCTCCCCAAAGGCAGAGAGCAACAACTTTGATCGGCCCTCACGCATGTTCACTTCATCAAATCCGGCCTCTTTGAAAATAGTTTGGGCACCCCTGATTTAGGACCTCTTAAAGCCATGCTTCGTTTTTTAATAGAGTACAAATGTGTGCTGGAACATACCATGTCCTTTCTTATTCATAGGTCAAGTCATACTTTTCCCCCTGGAAGGATCAGACCAAAGGTCCATCTAATTTAGCATCTCATTACCCACAGTGGCAATCAGAGGCTTCTGAGAAGCCCACAAGTCGGGCATGAATGCTGTAGCCTTGTCCTTTTGTTGCCCTCTAGCAAGTGAATAAAATATCATGATCATTACCAAGCATTCCAAACACATAACAGTAAAATAGGTAAAAAGGAAAACTTCCTATACAAACAAGTTTGGATTACAAACCTAACTGGTTTTCTACATTGCCAAGATCAGACCAACAGGACTGATTCCTTTTGCAACTTTACAGAACTGTACCTAACAATCAGGAACTGATATTTAAGACATAGTACCTCTGAATCTGGAGGCTCAATCTAGCAATTACAATTAATAGCTGCTTATAGAAACATAGAAGTGAGAGCTGGACCATAAAGAAGGCTGATCGCCGAAGAATTGATGCTTTTGAATTATGGTGCTGGAGGAGACTCTTGAGAGTCCCATGGACTGCAAGAAGATCAAACCTATCCATTCTTAAGGAAATCAGCCCTAAGTGCTCACTGGAAGGACAGATTGTGAAGCTGAGGCTCCAATACTTTGGCCACCTCATGAGAAGAGAAGACTCCCTGGAAAAGACCCTGGAGTTGGGAAAGATGGGGCACAAGGAGAAGGGGACGACAGAGGACGAGATGGTTGGACAGTGTTCTCGAAGCTACCAGCATGAGTTTGACCAAACTGCGGGAGGCAGTGGAAGACAGGAGTGCCTGCCTGGCGTGCTCTGGTCCATGGGGTCACGAAGAGTCGGACATGACTAAATGACTAAACAACAACAACAAATAGACACATTTTGCATGACTTTGTCTAATCTAGCCATTGAGGTTAATGGTCACTGCATCCCGTGGCAACAAATTCCGTTAAGTTCATGCAGAAGTACTTTGCCATGAATCTACTGCCAATCACTTTCAAAAGTTGACCACAAGTTCTACTACTGTGTGTGAGAGAGGCAAAGCATTTTCCACCTGCTATTTCCAAACCATACATAGTTTTAAATAAACCTCTATGATCACATCCTTCCTTAGCTGTCTTTTGTCATTTTATTTCCCATTTACTCAATTTGGAGAATTCCTTTGGCGTGTTCTGCAATCAGCTTAGGTTTTTAATTTGCCACTATCTGCAAACTTGGCTACGGTTGCCTCACTGCTTATCCCCAACTCCAGATAATTTATGAATAAATTAAATAGTCCCAGTCCCAGTACATCTCTCCATTGTGAGAACAGTCTGTTTACTCTTAAGAATGCTTGAATTATGGGGCTCAAAGGACTTCTCAACAAAATCCACAAACCCACCCAATTCTCACCCCAATTCAGTCAAATGATTTCCCCTAGGTCTTCAAAAAAGGCAATAAAGGGCTGGTTGTAAAACCTTTCTGTAATTCAAGCACCAAGTCCAAGTCTTGTTTTGAACCAGTTACTGCTTCATCATTCACCAGTTACTGATCTATAAAAGGCACTGTCATTTATTCTACAACTCTTAAGTATATTGATGTGCCATACACATTTTAAATCACCTGCTGCTTGCAAGGCAATGATTTTTATTTTTAATATTGCTATTACCTACCCTACACTTACAACTACTAAGTTTCTTTTCTTGAAGTTCTATGTATATAATATTATTATATCATATTATATTATTCACCAACCTAGTGCCCTCCAGCTGTCTGAGACTAAAATTCAGTTGCTGGTTCTAATATTTTCCTTGCACACTCTAAGTCTTCCAGGAGGACACACATCAAATAACACAACATATTATTATTACTACTGATATACATACCATTTTCCTTCCCAAAACAGCGTATCATAGCAACATTAATACAGTAGTATGTGCATATTTTACACACACACACACACACACACACACTCTCTCTCTCTGTGTATATATATATATATATATATATATACACACACATACATATAATCTACAGTGTTTGTGTGTGTTAGAGAGAGAAATTTTGTACTCTATATATGTCAACTGTTTTCAGAGTTGTACAAATAACTGAGTAAATAACAGCAGCTGCAATGCTACCAAGCCCTCCTCTGGGCTCCTTGCCTTGCCCGCCTCTCCCTTTCACATTTTGTGTGTAAGCTTGCGACCAGGGAGAAAGGATAGATGAATTATAACAGGGCAAGTATTAAGACCGAACAAAGGGTCGTGGTTCAGTGGAAGAGCTTCATAAGTTTGATCCTGGCATCTCCCTTCTCTGTGGTAGATCATGAGGATGGCAACAGGAGAACAGACCTTTTCAGTGGTGGCTCAACGCTTGTGGAAGACGCTTTGCAGGGAGGCTCGCCTGGCACCCTCTTTGCCTAGTTTTAGGCACCAGGCAAAACCTTTCCTCTTTTTTTACCCAGGCTTTTGGCCCCCTTTTTTTGAAGCTTTTTAAAATATTTGTGGCCTCTTTTGGTTGGGGGGGTGGATCTACTTGACCGGGCTTTTCATTTTTGACAGATGTACTTGTTAGGTTTTTAATGGTGTTTGTTGGAATTGGTTTTTAGTATTCCCAGAGCTTTTTTCTGGGGGTACACATACCCCTAAACATTTTGTGAATCTTTGTACTATTGTCCATTTACTGTATTTATTTTTTCCGATTTGAACGATAAAATGGTGATTTTCTTGAGTCAAAACGAGAGTACCCCTAAACATTTTTAAAGAAAAAAGCACTGAGTATTCCTAATGTGTTCGTAAGTTGCTCTGAGTTATTTTTACAAGTCGCTAATAAATAACAATAATCATCTCTGCACAAAACCAGAGAGAGCCATTGCCAATCAATGTATAGGCAATATATACGGACTTTGATGGAACAATGGTCCAACTCAATATAAGACAGCTCCCTAGGCAAGCCTGCTCCCAAATTTGCTGGTCCGGTGAAAGGCATCTCTTTACTTGTCTCTAGGGAGGGTCTGCATCCCAGGGATAAATCCTGCTTTGCGTGCAGAAGGTCCTAGGTTCAATCCCCCCCCCATCTCCTGGTGGGGCTGGGAGAGACTCTGACCCCAAACTCCAGGGACCTGCTGCTGCTGCCAGCCTGCACAGACAATATTGGGGCGAGGCAGACAAACGGCATGTTAGGCAGCATTTTACATTTTCTTAAAAGGGTGTGGGGGTGTGGAAAAGACCAACCAGTGCCCGATTTAGGTTTGATGAGGCCCTAAGCTACTGAAGGTAATGGGGCCCTTTATATGTCCAGCTGTCCTTTATCAACAACTAATTGCCACTGTTTTTTGTGTTGAATAGATGCTATATTTATGGACCTAATAGGTATCTAAAGCCATTTGCACAAGTTACCATGCAACCAGTCCATGCAGAATGTAGGCACCCTATATATAGAAATGAGCAAACCGGTGATATTTTAGGGAGCAGGCGGGGCCCATGACTTACATCATAGGTGCCTACACAACACAAGACTGGATCTTGTGCATCCAGTCCCCCCCCCTTTAATTTTTGTTGGGACCCCCAAGAGAGTGGGGCCCTAAGCTATGGCTTGTTTAGCTTATGCATAAATCCTGCACTAGGTGGGTGGGTGTGGAGAAGACCAACGCATATCCCCTTAATGACTACGTTGAGCTCCCGAGTTTCCTGCTTTGCGGGCGGCAGTGCCCAACTACACAAGAGGGAAAAACAGCCAGAAGGCCTCACTTGAGGCGAGGCGAAGCCAGGCCCGCCACGAGCCGGCCTTAGGCCCCGCCCTCCGCGCTGCCATAGAGACCGTCTCTATGGAAGAAGGGGAGGAGGAGGAGGAGGAGGAGGGAGGGATGCTGGTGGCGGCGATGGTCCTGTTTGGCGGCAGCAGCAGCAGCAGCAGCAGGCGCCGACGGAGCGAGCCATGCCGCGCTACGGAGCGGGGTCGTGGTCCCACAGCAGGCGCAGCGGAGCCGCCCTCACCACCCTCCTGCTGACAGGTTGGTCTCTCCGAGAACCCCCTTCCCCGAGCGGCGAGCGGCGGCGGCGCCCTTCCCGCCCGGGCTGCGCATTCCCCGGCTACGGCCTGCTCCGGAGCCCGCGACTCCGCCCCGGGGCCAAGCAGCGGCGGCTCCCCGGCTCCTCTCCTGGCGGCCTCGGTCCCGGGTTCTCGCCCCATTCCCGGCCACCGAGGCAATGGTGGAAATTTCTGAACCTTCTGCAGAGAGGAGAAGGTGGAGGGAGGGCTGGAAGCGTAGGGTCTGAAAAACAAGGAAACAAGGACATGCTCATTATTGCTTCCATGGCTGGACGCAGCATGTGTGTTTCCCCCCTCAAAAACACATCCCAACCCAACTCCCCCCGAATAAATTTTTGGATTTCCACACAGGCACAAGTGGAATTTCTAAGGAGAAATGAAATGGGTAGAAAATTTGGGTGGGATGGGATGCGGGGATGCAAATTAAGTGACACTGTGATTCTGATGGGTGCATGTAGGATATATTGACCTGAGCATCCAGTTTAGAAGGATCCATTTATAAATATATGGACAGAAGTAATCGCGCCCCCCCCCAAACACCCCTCTGTTCCATTTCAGAGGCAAGTATTTAGAATGAGGAGATAACATGTAGTAGAACATTAGCAGTAGAACATTAGTACGTTGTGGGCTGGCTTAGATTTAGATCATACTGAACGACTGTAGATGATGGTTAATGTAAGACACATTCCTGTACTGCAGACCACCCACCAGCTGTGTGCTTGTTTGTGTGTGTGTTGGCCCAGGGCTTGGAATCACAGCCATTTATTTCACCCTTAAGATTACACCAGCTGGGGAATCTTGGGCAAATGGAAGAGTGAGAATCCTATTTACCAGGAGAGGAGAACATACTTAAATGCTTGCCTGGGCAAACTAGGGCATAGGAAATAATCTTCAGAGCAAATGAAGTCATGATGAGGTATATTAATGCACAAGAAGAAACATGCAGTATACCATAAAGCAAAGTATCTCACTGGGTAGCTGGTGTTTTAACAGTAGATTGGAAACGTATTTCAATATTTGCCTTTTTGCTTGACTAGTGATGTTTGCAGGTACTTGTACTCCATGTTGCATTGTGAATATTTGTTGCTGAGAAAGGGCTTGCCTTCAAAATTATGAGGAGAATGTTAAGGGCACATGGGATCAAATACTCCAAGGATAGAAAAAAAAAGTGGGGAAACCTGTACTTTGCAACTGATTTTCTATTTCTTCAGATTAGAAAAACATAGAAGGCTGCCTTATTTGAAGTCAGAGCATAGGTCCACCATGTCTCAGAGAGTATTGTCTACATTACAGCTCTCCAGGATTTCAGATAGAAGCATTTGCCAGCCATGCCTGGAAATATCAGGGATAGAACCTGGGTCCTTTTACATACATGACATGTGTCTGCTACTGAGCTTAATGTTTCCAGTTGTCTGCGGTGAATAAGAAGGCACAGATAATTGCAGCTTAAACATATTATATTGTCTTCACATACAAATTCCATATTAGTAGTACCTTTGCTGGGCCAACTAAACAATCTTAAAATAGTGTGCATACTCTCAAGTTCTCCAGAACTCTTAATTAGGTTAGGTAGTAAACGAAGTGGGTGGAATGGAGGAAGAAAAGTTTGCTAATACTAAAGGCGTGATGGCTGCATCTGGTCACAGCCCTTTGAGATAGAATGGGAGAGGAGGTGACAAGCATTCAAAGTAGGCTGCTTAGGTGCCATGCAGGTGTCAGGTTGCACCAAGGCTTGGTGGGAACCAGAACTATATAACTATGGCTCCTTCCTCATCTCTGGAACCACAGAAGATCATTTGTACTGGATCCCTCTTTGTATGGTGAGAGCCTACTTCAAGGGTGGGGGAACTGGATCTGGATGGTATGGTTTTCCCCACCCACTGCAGGCCAACTTTGACAGTTGGGTGCAAATGCCTACCTGACAGTCACTTGATATAACAGTGACATCAGGTGACCCAGTTTCCTTTGCTCGCACAATTTGAAATCAAACCACTGTGGGAAAAGGCAGAGCCCTTTTGCAAGCACCAATAATCAACTGATTGTTGGTGCTTCCAAAGTCCAGTGCCCTGGCAAGGACACTGTGATCATATGTCATCAGGCTGTGTTCAGATCTTAGGCTGAACACAGGCTGAATATTTCGAAGTTGAGGTAGGAGGCAATGGCTGTGATCTGCTGTCCATGCGTTCATATAAACAGAAATGTCAATTGAACAAGGAATTTGCTTAGTATGGGACTTCCTCTTTTCAGTATCAACCTAGCATATTCCAGTGATGTGTTTTTTTCTGCAAAATTTTGATCTGAATTTTTTTCTAATGGATTAGGATAATTTTTATCAGATAATTTTCTGATGTCCAAGACAGGAGCTAATTTAGGATGTTTATTTTTCTTATACTGTATTTAGTAAAATGAAGTTTGCCAAATATTGAATTTACAATTGACACCTGTGCATTACTGCTAATAAACATATGAAATAAGAATTTCTTTCTGCAGAAAAATAAAGCACTGTAAAAATGCCTGCTCTAAATCACGGGACTATATTGAGGATTCAGTGCATTTGCACTAAAATCCAATAACTTCTAAAGAAACGTAACCGATGTAGTGTTTAGTATCAAGAGCTTCTTGCATAATTTCAAATCACACTGCATATGAAAAGTGTGGATTCCCGGAGACAAGGGTAAATGATAGTTGGAGTGGAATGTTCGGTAAGTTATGAACTGTAAGGTTAACTGGATTATAGGGAGAAATATGTGGTTAGTTAAATACATGTGGAAGACAAGATTTGGAAAGCACTCTTGTCATTTAAGTACATAAACTGTGTGGGGCAAGTTGTATATGATACTATATTCTGCCAGCACTTGAATGTGAGATTATCATATTACAGTGGTGCCCCGCAAGACGAATGCCTCGCAAGACGGAAAACCCGCTAGACGAAAGGGTTTTCTGTTTTGGAGGTGCTTCGCAAAACGAATTTCCTATGTGCTTGCTTCGCAAGACGAAAATGTCTTTCGAGTTCCTGCAGGGTTTTTTTCCTTCCCCCCCCCCTTTTCCCAAGCCGCTAAACCGCTTATCAGCTGATGGCTAAGCCGCTTATCAGCTGATCTTTAAGCCGCTTAACAGCTGATGCTAAGCCGCTTATCAGCTGATCTTTAAGCCGCTTATCAGCTGATGGCTAAGCCGCTTATCAGCTGATCTTTAAGCCGCTTAACAGCTGATGCTAAGCCGCTTATCAGCTGATCGTTAAGCCGCTTATCAGCTGATCTTTAAGCCGGCTAAGCCGCTAATACTGTAGCGCTAAGCCGCTAAACCTCTAATGGGCTTGCTTCGCAACACGAAAAAACCCGCAAGACGAAGAGACTCGCGGAACGGATTCTTTTCGTCTTGCGAGGCACCACTGTATGTGATCCCTGCATATATTTAGTTATAAATAAGAAAAAGTATTCTGGCCCCCTTAAAGAATAACATAATTATTATGGCATCAGCTTTCACAGACTACAGTCCACTTCATTAGATGCATGAAATGTTAACCTGAGTTATAGGTATAAACAGTGCTTTTTCTGGGGGGACGCAGGGTTACACATACCCCTAAACATTTTGTGAATCTTTATACTTTTGTCCATTTACTGTATTTTCCCCAATTTGAACTATAAAATGGTGATTTTATTGACTCAAAATGAGAGTACCCCTAAACATATTTTTTAGGGGAAAAAAGCACTGGGTATAAAACTACACATATGGTTTGGGGAAGATTGTAAAATTGAAATCAGAAGGAGGACTTCAAAGGGAAATGACTGCTGTGTACACACCTTCGCGTTTGCTTTGCATCCAGTGCACTCCCACTGCTGGTTTGTGAAGCACAACATTATGCACAATCCACATCTACTCTGTAGTTTTCTGAGGAAATGCTTCGTTTTGAGGTGTTTTCCCCTAAACCACCTTTGATTAGATTTGAACACTTATGACATGTGAAGACATCCACACCCCTACTGGTGTGTGTGGACAGACAGCAAACAACTTGGAAACACATCCAAGTATACTGATGCGTACAACAATGTACAAATGTGATTTGAAATGCAACAGGGGAAAGGAAAATTGTGTTTTAAGTCAGTCATGGGTACACAGCAGAAACTCAGAAAAGTACTTTCCTGTAACTTACCTGCATCTGGTGAAGTGTCCTGTTGTCTGTAGTGGCCTGTAGTGTTTTAAACTACAAGGCTATAAGGTTGTTGTTAGTCTTTAGAGTTCCACATGACTCTTTGTGGTTTTTGCTACAGAAGACTTATCAACAGCCATTCTTCAGGTCAAGATTTTATGTTATGTGTCATTTATCAATATATGCAGTGCTTTTTTCTGGGGAGGATGCAGGGGGACGCATGCTCCTAAACATATTGTGAATCTAAGTTTGGCCTCATTGTGGGGCAGTATTTCAATATGAGTAGGAAAATGAAAGTACAAAAAAACATTTTTTTTCCAAGGGAAAAAAGCCCTGAATATATGCATTAAACTTGTTGTGTTTGATCTGCTGCTTTTGCCCAGATTGTATTTTTGGAGAAGTACATTCCTAATTAGGGTGGGTACAAATGCAGAATTGTCCATAAAAAATAACTTCCCTCAGTCCATTCCTTCCTGATTAGTACGTGCAGAGTACGGTATTTCAAAACAAACTTCAGACAACCATTTTTATTCAGTAGTAAATAAGGCATTGCAAAGTTTTAGGTCACTTTATTTCTTTAGCCACAGTGTCACATAAATTCTGAACTGCAAAACTGGCTTAAGAAGCCAAGACAGATTCAACTGATGACACTTGAGAGAAGGATGGAGTAAGCAAGTAGACACAGGGTTCATTCCTAGTTCAACAAATGGGTCTCTTGGGCCAGGATAGCTGCATTCAATACAAGCTTAATATATACAGTAATAGGCAATTAGGTTCAATATTTTTCTTTTCCATAGCACCTTCTTGTTCTTCTTGTTTCTGCTTCCTGATCCCAGTGCAGCCTGGCTGACTGCTCATATTTAAAAACTCAATCCCTATCACATCTCCAACATCTTCTACCAAGGAAAAAAAGGCAGAAATGGGTGGGAAGAAACACTTTGAAACATATATATTTGTGTGCCTGGTCAGGCTGAATAGCTTAATTTTTGAATGCCATTAAATGTGTACTTGTAGTCCATTTAATTTCTTCTTCTTTACATTGGGTATTCATTATATTTTAACTGGTGGCTTTTGATTTCTGAGAAACTGTTGACATGATATTAATCCAGTTTGCCTTGCATCTGTTTTATTTTGGAAAGCTTTTTTCTTGCACTCTGCTGGTGGCATAAATGGAACAGTTAAATGGAAGACCAAACACGTCATCAGTTATGTTAGCAGCAGCATAAAGGCTGCTGAGAAGAATGGTGAGTTTAGGTTGAAAAATATTTGGGATTAATCAACCTCCCCTTGGTATATTAGATTTGATGTATTAGTGGTGTGTATTTCACTAATAACATGATGTGGAAATAAATGGCAATTATATAATGTTCTAATCTTCTAAGCTTTAAGAATTCCTCCTTCTAATCTTTCGTTTTCAACTAAATTTTCAGTTATACTTTGTGGATTCCTTTGCCCAAAATAATGGTTCTGGATAAAATATTGTGAATTTCTTGTTGTTGGTGTCTACTTAAAACACATCTGCAATCTGCTGAGTGCAATAATAATCTCCTTATCATAATAAATGTGTCATTTTTATTACTTGTTTGTAGCAATTGGCATAATTTATTGTGCACGGTTTTTAAAATGTCAGGACGGCTTGGAGAAAAGAGGTAGCTAAATACTTCCATTTAATGCAAAATTGTCACATCAAGTTTTTGTTTGTTTTTTGCTTTTTTAGGTGCCTAAGAGTATTTTTAATTTTATTTATTTATAACATTAAATACAATAATGTGAAACCTCAAGCTTTCTTTTTCATATTCAAGGCAGCAGCAAACCAAGATAAAACAATACCAAATATATATGTACGAAACAATCCATTTTTAAAAAAATAACCCAAGAATTACAGAACCAGTAGCAGGAATTCAGACCTGTTTGAGTATTCATCCTGATTTGTTTGCACAAAGTTTTCAGTGAGATTATAAGACATCCATTGATGATTTAGTGTTCATTTGCTTTGTTTTAGGGTGGTTATGCAATGGTGCATCAATTAGTTGTTGCGCCCACCAAGGGCCAGGGGTGGGCAGGGGTGCTGTGCAGTCACTCCAGGGGTACCAGTGGCAAAAGCTGGGTGCAAGCTCTGCTCACCCTCCAGGCCCCTCTCCCCGGAGTGTGCAAACCACCCCAGGGTGCATGTACGCCTGTCCCAGGCACCAGCAGTACATGAACCCAGTAAACAAGGCAGAGCGCTTAAAAGCTCTTTCTAGGCTGGAAAAACCCTGTGCAAAAAGAGCTTAACACCAAGCTCAAGCAGCCGGATTTCAACTGCATAAAGTCAGTTTTGCACATGTAAGTTGCATGACTTGTGGCCAAGGCAAAGTACAAGTAAACATTTGCTACACAAATGTTACAAAAAAAGCACCATGAGAGTTAGTGACTTTTGACATCTTTGAAGGGTTATATGTAGTAGTTATATCAAATGATGCACGGCAATCTGGCATTGTATTCCTTTTTTAATTTTGTTACCAGTGGGATGAGAATGGGTTCTGGTGGTTTTCCCAGTCAAAACTCTTTTAACAGGTGGCAGGCCTCTTATCGGTTGACTTTTAATGGAAGTCTGAATATAGCATGCGACTGAATCAGTCATGGGTTTCCTCTTGCACCTGTGCCCACTTAGTAGCATATTAGACTGCTGTCTGTTGAAGTGGAGCAGCATTGAAATATATGGCACAGTAGGAGATGCAACATCTGGCCAATAACAGCTTGGGGAGTATCACACCAGCAGAAGCCCATAGATAAATGTGGCAATATTGTATTTGTGAACAGATACTGTGAAGGACAATGAGTGTCCTCAAGGAATTGGGAAGAGTGTATTTTTGCACTGATGGATAGATAGATAGATAGATAGATAGATAGATGATAGATACCCAAGTGGAGAAGCAGGGAAAAACGTTGGTTTGTCACCATAGGAAGAGCCCTGCTAGATCTCACGAAGGTCCATCTAGTCCGGCATCCTGTTCTCACAGTTGTCATCCAGATGCCCATGGATAGCATACAAGCAGGGCATGAGGAGGACAATAGTTCTTTCCAGCTGTTGTTATCCAGTGACTGGTATTCAAAGGCATGTTGCCTCTGATCCTGGTGGTAGTACATACCCAACGTGATAAGTAGCCATTGATAGCCTCGGCCTCCATGGGTCCACCAAATCCTCCCCCCTCCCCACCAGACATCTAAGTTGGTGGCCCTTGCTACATACCGTGGTAGTGATTTTCACAGTACAGTGGTACCTTGGTTCTCAAACGGCTTGGCTCCCAAAGAGATTGGCTCCCGAACGCCGCAAACCTGGAAGTAAGTGTTCCGGTTTGCGAATGTTTTTCGGAAGCTGAACGGCCGACATGGCTTCCACTTGAGTGCAGGAAGCTCCTGCAGCCAATCAGAAGCCACGCTTGGTTTTTGAACGGTTTCTGGAGTCAGAACGGACTCCCGGAACGGATTAAGTTTGAGAACCAAAGTACCACTGTGTAACTCTGTGCAGTGTGGAGAAGTACTTCCTTTTATCTGCTCTAAATCTTCCAAAATTGAGCTTCATTGGATGACCTTGGGTTCTAGAATTATAATTGTTAACTGTAGGGCACAAGCCCCTTTGGGGGATACATTTGGGATTTATTTTTATTACTTCCCTTGCCTATGCACCAGTGGATGTTTGATCAGAGGAGGGTCTACACTGCAAGATGGTCTGATAAGCCTGCAGATTGCCCATGTCTGTTTGCTGTTCTGTTTCAGACCTTGTGGCCATCCTGTTCTGGAGAGGTTTCTGCTGCTCTGGTTGCAGAAGTGAAGGGTTACTCCAGCTGGAAGCTAGAAGGCATTGTGAACTTCATTCCATTAACACCAAACTGGGAGGGGTGGCTAACACCCCAGAGGACAGGATCACACTTCAAAACGACCTTGACAGATTAGAGAACTGGGCCAAAACAAACAAGATGAATTTTAACAGGGAGAAATGTAAAGTATTGCACTTGGGCAAAAAAATGAGAGGCACAAATACAAGATGGGGACACCTGGCTTGAGAGCAGTACATGTGAAAAGGATCTAGGAGTCTTGGTTGACCACAAACTTGACATGAGCCAACAGTGTGACGCGGCAGCTAAAAAGCCAATGCAATTCTGGGCTGCATCAATAGGAGTATAGCATCTAGATCAAGGGAAGTAATAGTGCCACTGTATTCTGCTCTGGTCAGACCTCACCTGGAGTACTGTGTCCAGTTCTGGGCACCACAGTTCAAGAAGGACACTGACAAACTGGAACGTGTCCAGAGGAGGGCAACCAAAATGGTCAAAGGCCTGGAAACGATGCCTTATGAGGAACGGCTAAGGGAGCTGGGCATGTTTAGCCTGGAGAAGAGGAGGTTAAGGGGTGATATGATAGCCATGTTCAAATATATAAAAGGATGTCACATAGAGGAGGGAAAAGGTTGTTTTCTGCTGCTCCAGAGAAGCGGACACGGAGCAATGGATCCAAACTACAAGAAAGAAGATTCCACCTAAACATTAGGAAGAACTTCCTGACAGTAAGAGCTGTTCGACGGTGGAATTTGCTGCCAAGGAGTGTGGTGGAGTCTCCTTCTTTGGAGGTCTTTAAGCAGAGGCTTGACAACCATATGTCAGGAGTGCTCTGATGGTGTTTCCTGCTTGGCAGGGGGTTGGACTCGATGGCCCTTGTGGTCTCTTCCAACTCTATGATTCTATGATTCTATGATTCCATTTGTGCCGTTCCAGAGCTCTGCTCCAGCAGGAGGAGAAACAGCTGATTCAAAGAGTTTGCTTGCTAGAAGTGAGAAATGCCACAGTTGTAGTAAGGCCTTCATTTCCCAGTGCTAGCTAAGGTCTCCTTGCTACAGTTTTACGAAGGGAGTATTGGGGCTAATCTATTCTATCAAGTGATATGGGACAATTCAGTGATGCTTCTTGATAGGTGCGCACAAATGCTGGTAAAATGTTCACATTCAATTTATCAGCATGCCAAAGGGCTGAACTGTCTCCAGCATGCCCAAATTGCATCATATGATTCATTTAAAACGTTGTGCAATTTAATCGCTTGACATGATCACAGAAAGGCCTGACTGTCTTTTTCACTTTTGCATTTAAAACTGAATTTTCATTTTGAGGGTGACGGGGTAGCCTAAGGTTTCCTGAATGATCAACATGACCTAGATGATTAGAAATTTTCCTAACTATTGGTGCCACTTTCGTTGGTACACCAAACAGCAAGGAATTCTGTGTTACAATGGGTATGGAATATTAAATAGGAACCCACATTCCCCCTGGAAAAAAATCTGAGTTTCATATTCAATGAATAATGAACATTACTGAATTTAGACATCACACATTCTCTCTTGAGCCCAATCAGTGTATGCATTTATTCAGTGAAAGGATAACTGGAGAAGTTCAGTTGTGTGTCTCCTAAGGACACAAAGAATAGGAAATGTGTATTTTCCAGATAGGAAAGACTTGTTGAAAGTGATAACCTAATTGTAATAGTTGTTGTGAATGCCACTTGTGCCACTTGACAGCAGCTTTCGGTGATGAACTTTTGGAAGCCCTTGCACTCCTCCATTATTATTAGAAAATCAGTAGCACTAAAATATGAGATCTATCATCCTTATTTATACAAAGACAAACAAAACATTGAAGTCAAGTGTGTTGAGTACTGATATAGGCACAGATCGTAGGCATTCCAAGTCATTACTGTGACCTGAATAAAGTACCCACTCAAATGTAATGTATTTATATTTGTATCTGAATTAGTTTTTTAATCATCTGTGATTGTATTTTTTTTTGCACCCTGGGCCCTTTTTTCCTTGAGGTACATGTAAATACATTAAGATTAAGATTCCCAAGATGTGCTGCAGTATAAAATGATAAAAACTATAGAGTCTCAGAAGACTAAAACCGCAAACTCAGATGAAACATCACAGTTAAAACCAGCATATGCAAAATTTAAAGGTGTCTTAAAACTCTTCCAGGCAGTCCCATCATTTAACAGTAAACATCAAACTGCTGCAGAAGGCCTGAGCGAAGGGGTATGTTTTTAGTTGGCGCCAAAAGTTAAGCAAAAGTTGGCACTAACCAGCTTAGAGAGAAGGATGTTCCTTTTTTAAGAAAACAACAGCCAAGCATCTCATTTTGCATTTACAGATTCATTTATGTAAGACTACACAGACACAGCTGTATGTCTGTTTTCTGCTGCCTGATTGATGCCCATATGAAAAGAGATCCCATATCTCCCTCTTCTGCTCTCCCGATAAATGCCTAAAATATTATTAAAAGGATTCTAGTTAATAATATTTTAGATGTATATAGCTAAATGATGGTATGACACAGTTAAGGATGTAATGGAAATAGCAGCAATGGACCTTTTAACTAAAGAGACCATTCCATTTGGACTATTAAGGTGCATGGGTGTAGACAAGGGGGGGGCAGGGGTGCAGCTGGGCCAATTCGCCAGCGGCAGGAACCGTGCCTACACACGCAAAGTCTGCATGTCACATTTAAACCATAGTTAAACTGTGGTTCAGTGTAAACACACAACATGCTGGTGCACCTTGCTGAAAAATTCCTGCTCCGTACCTACAGCTGCTGTGTTGCCGGAAGATAAGCCAAAGTCTGACTTTGTTGTGATGTGCAAACCCACACTTAGCATTTGTTTTCCCCAAACAAACCATGAGCAGTAAGCCAAGAACAAACCTTAGTTACCTGTTCATGGCTCATTTGGAGAGAAAGAAACCATGACCCTGTGTTTGGACATCATGACAAATGAGACTTTATAATAATTTATATAATAATAATTTATTATTTCTACCCCGCCCATCTGGCTGGGTTTCCCCAGCCTCTCTGGGCAGCTTTCAACAGAACATTTAAAACAGAATAAAACTTCAAACATTAAAAACTTCCCTAAACAGGGCTGCCTTCAGATGTCTTCTAAAAGTCGGATAGTTGTTTATTTCCTTGACATCAGATGGGAGGGTGTTCCACAGGGCGGGTGCCACTACTGAGAAGGCCCTCTGCCTGGTTCCCTGTAACCTCACTTCTCGCAGTGAGGGAACCCCCAGAAGGCCCTCGGCGCTGGACCTTTAGCATGTTTCCAAGCCATGCAACAGGAGCAGGGGAGATATGGAGCAAGAACTCATGGTGCAATTACATTAAATAATTGGTTGTTAAATATTGTTTACTGTGATGTGTGAACTAGGTCATTGAGAAAATATTCTTCTGTGGATGGAGAAGATAGCAACAATGGGGACCAACATAGAGCAAATAGATTATTTATAGCCATTTATTATAATACTGAAACGCCTTCCGTCACGCTTTTGTTTGTTATTTAATTTTAACTTCTTAACGCTGCTTTCCTAAGCATGGAAGTAATTCCTATTGGAATCGATAGGATTTGCTTTCAAGTAGACTGTAAGGCGATACCTGTTGTTCAACTTCTTTTTTATCAAAATATGCAAAAATAAAAACAAAACCCACCACCCTCCTCAATGCATAGTTAACTGATGCAAATTATAATTCCTTACAATACTCAAAAGGACAAAGCAGAATAATTGCTTCTTTGTCAGCGACATGCTAAATGGTTGAATTTTGATTGCTGCCTACACACTCATAGGAATTGTTAGCATACATAAGAAAGAAGAAGCATTGCTTTGCGTTTCTTCTGTCGTCCTTGTCCACTTCTTAACTTGTCATTAATAGGGATATCCTTTTCTGCTTCCCTTTTCCCAAAAATGACTTGCCGCGGCTTTGAACGTGGTGGCATTTTGAATGTGTCCTACTTTTTCATACCCTGTCTCTTCTCTCTGCTCCTCCTTTCCCAGTGTACACAATCCTCTCGAAGGTGCACTCCGATCATACGGTGTACCCTTCCGCTGGAGTTCTGTTTGTCCACGTCTTGGAGAGGGAGTATTTTAAAGGGGAGTTTCCTCCTTATCCAAAGCCTGGTAAGAAATGCTTACAGTTTTAGAAATATGTATCAGAGTCGTTAAATAACCCTAATTACTTCGCGTTTGCAGAGAGAGAGAGAGAACACGCACTTGTGGAGCAGGCGGATGTGCAAGGCAATCCTGTACATCAGGGGTGGGGAGTCCCACGCCTGGGACCAAATGCCACCTTGCAACAGTGAAGGAAAGCATTGCCTCTCCTTTTCACTGTGGTCCTGGCACACAAACACCGCCCCCATGCTGCTGGAGCTGCTATTAGTCCCAAGAAAGCAGCTTCCATTGGCACCAGTGGAGACTTCCCACCCAGACCTTATAGGAGTATTTGGGGCATGCATGTATCAGTTTTCATCAGCCGCATTACAAGGGAGGAAAGGGTTAAGCAGGTAATCCCAAACTCAGCCCTCCGGATGTTTTGGGACTACAACTCCCATCATCCCTAGCTAACAGGACCAGTGGTCAGGGATGATGGGAATTGTAGTCCCAAAACATCTGGAGGGCCGAGTTAGGGGGTGCCTGGGTTAAATCTTTACCCCATTTGTGCTGCAGTCCCAGCAGAAATCCTACACGCTTACTGTTTTTTTGTGTGTGTGTGTTTATTAAACAAACAGAGGTGATTGCAACTGTTGTCTTTCACATTGCCTCTATTTTGGTCTGAAATTATAGTTTCTTTAATATAGCAATTAAAGAAACCCATTTCTTGAGTTCAGTGCTGTTTTTCTGCATTTTAAAAATAAAAGAACAACAATGTAGGGCACAATCTGCAGCTGTAGACAGTCATTTGGCTTCCATGAAATAAAACTGGGACAATTTTAGTCCAGTTTAACAAAATACTTTAAATATATTTTGGCAGTTCTGTAAACGAAGAAAGTATGTGATTAATTATACTTGTTTTTCTTTTGCTTGGTATGTCATATGGCTCTCAAGCCAGCAGCAGAACAAACTCTTTACTGTACAACTCCCTTTAGCTAAGCTGCAATCTGCACTTACCTAGGAGAAGTGGATGGGAGATAATAGGCTAACTCTAGAGCCCTCTCCAAATAGTAGAGTTGATATGCAGATATTTACTTCTGAGTAAATAGGCAGAGGACTGCACTGCACATCTCACTGAAATTTATGCAGATGTTTGCAGTCTCAGGAGCCAGGTTTTCCATCATTGCTGGTTTGGGTTAGTGCATCTTTACAGGTGTTTTTGAACTAACATGCAAAACCTATCAATTTGACTTACAGAGTGTAAATGCAGTATTGTGATTATTTCATAGCGGACTACCAAGAACAGGAATTATTGACAGCTTGCAGTCTCCCGTTTTGTCATTTGCATTGCATGAAAATACTGTGCTGTTCATTTGGTGACACTGCATTTTAAATTGGATGTCCTGTTTATCCAGGCGAGATGAACAATGATCCTATAACTTTTAACACAAACCTAATGGGTTACCCTGACAGACCTGGTTGGCTACGATACATTCAGAGAACACCCTACAGCGATGGAGTGTTGTATGGGTCACCAACAATAGACAATGTGGGAAGACCATCTGTCATTGAGGTAGGTTTGCTGCAAAATATTTTATCTAGACCCTGTCTCAAACATCTAGGCACGTAACATGTTGTCATGGGTAACTACCTGCTGTATGATAACACCCTTTGCTGATAATTAAAAAACCACACCCTGATCTCTAAATAATTTTTTATAAAAAATATTCAAACATTCAATCTCATTGTTTTCATGTCTTCCCTCTGCCAGCTTCATATATTTGGTGAATTAAGCTGCTTATGAAATCTAATGCCACAATAAACCAATGATTTCAAAGTGTCACAGCACTTGGCCTTTGGGCAGCCTGAAAGAGATCCCAGGATTTTATGACCTGGCCGTGACCTTGTACCAGTCCTTAATCCCATCCCTGTAGAATATTTGCTCTGTACACAAGGACTTTGGAGAAGAGCCCATGATGCCAGAGTGGAGCTCCTTCACGTGTCCTTCCACCTTCTGTGTTTTTGACCAAAGGAGCGAAGAATGCCCAGATAAGGCTGCAGAGTTCACCTTTTATTGGAGGGAGTGTGTGCTTGGCACCTGGAATTGCAAACTTTTGCCCAAGGTAGGCAGAGCTATAGAAATGTGGCCGTGAATGTAAAATATGTTCTCATATTGAGAACAAGGGAACAGCAGCAGCATTTGGATATGTAGTTGTACGTGTAACCCATTGAAAAGAATGAACAGCATCCATACCCATATGCATATCAAGTTGAAAGCAATGGAGAGGATCTACGTGTAGGTGTACTGTACATCTGATTTATGCTAGCAGTTTGTAAAAACAAGGGTAGCTGGAAATTTACAGCATGAACCTAGATATGTCCCATCCTAGAAGTGAAGTCCTATAGAGTTAGGTGGGGCTTACACCCAGGGAAGTGGGGATAGGATTATATCTTTAGTGACATTACTATGGATTTCTGAGACCAAGTGAAAAACTTAGAAAGCTCCATGGAAATGAAACTACAAATGTCATCCATTCCTAGGGACAATCATCCACCTTCTAGATCAGTCGTCTCCTACCTTGGATCCACAGATGTTGTTAGACTACAACACCCACCTACCCCCGCATCCCTAGTCAGCATGGTCAGTGGTCAAGGATGATGGGAGTTGTAGTCCAACAATATTGGGCACTTAAGCCTGTTGCATGTATTCTCTGCACCTTTGTGACACGTAAGGAACCCGGTAAGTTCGGTCTATTTACAACAGTGGTCTGCTGGGTGCATCTGGAGTGCAACTCATCTACCCTTTATTGACATGGATGTGCTCCTTAAAATCTTTGGTGGTGAAATGGAATCTTGGAAGTCTTCTAATTCTGTCCCAGTTTACTGACAAAACTTGACTGGCTCAGAATAAGGTTGGGCATGTTGGTTTGTTTTGTATATTTCTAGGCCACTTTTTAGGGCAAAGTCTTCCCTAGGTGCCTTAACATGAAAACAACTGTATAATTCAGCAGAGGTCCCTAACCTTTTTGGCTCTGGGGGCACATTTGGAAGACTAAGAAACTGATGCAGGTATCACAAAATAGTCATTTCTCAGAAGAAAATCCAGCAATGCTCAGAACACCCCCCCAAAAAAAGTCCATGTAAAATATATGCACCCTCCAAAAACAACATATAGACAATGACAACGTATAGACAAAAAAAGCAGGCAACACCCAGAACCAAACCACCAAAAACCAAAACTAATAATAAGCATTCCAGAAGAAATGTTTTAAATTCTGGAAATTGTAGATTTGTCTTGGTCTGGTGCATGTAATGTCTTTCATTTTGTAGTTGTGTGATTTGTGCTTATATATTGTATTGTGATGGCCATTGGCTAGAAACTATAAAATCTATTGACTAATTTAAAAAAAGCAAAACAAAATTGGGAAGGGCAGGGAGCCTTAGTAAGTGGCAGAAGTGTCTGAGGGTCCTGTGGTCCCCATGGGCACCACACTTCGGATCCCAGGAACACAGTGTCCATGTTTCAGTAAAAGGAATATTGTAACATAGCACCCTAAAACAATCCACAGGCCAGCGATATAGTGTTATAAATGTAACTAAAAGCAATTAAAAACATTCAAGTTACCAACAATAGAAACTCATTAAGAAGTTGCCAAAAACAAGTGGGGTTTTTTGGAGCCCATTTTAAAGCTTGTGCTGATGAGGCCTTATGCAAATCACTTGGGAGGGGATAATATAACCAAGGGGCTTTCACTCGGAAGGCCATGTCTCTCATAGCTGCTCATCTGATTGATTTTACAGGTGGGCCTAGGAGCCTTCTCACTGGTATAATGTGTTTTCTCTTCTCCCCCTTTGTCCTTCCACAAAAAGCTTGAGGGGCCCAACCACTGCCCAGGTTTCTCCCCATCTAACGCTGGCTTTTCACAGCGTTGAATAACCATATATGGAATTGTCAAGCTAGATGCAAGTTTTTCGTGCTCAACTGGTAATAGTTTTTGGAAATATAGTAACAGGTTTCTGGTTTATGTTTCTTCTTTATTAGATCACTGCTTATAACAGGCGCACCTTTGAGACAGCCAGACATAATTTGATTATTAATATAATGGCAGCAGAAGGTAAGCATTTTAGATTGCATTGATACATAATATTACACTATTAGGAGATTATTACAGTGGTACCTCGGGTTAAGTACTTAATTCGTTCTGGAGGTCTGTACTTAACCTGAAACTGTTCTTAACCTGAAGCACCACTTTAGCTAATGGGGCCTCCTGCTGCTGCTGCTGCACCGCCAGAGCACGATTTCTGTTCTCATCCTGAAGCAAAGTTCTTAACCTGAAGCACTATTTCTGGGTTAGCGGAGTCTGTAACCTGAAGCATATGCAACCTGAGGTACCACTGTATAGAATAAATAAATGGCAAATGGATAGGAAAGAGGTATGCTAAGCTTTCCTGTATTTAGTTAATTGTATTTTATTTTGTTATTTCCAAGCCACCTCTGTTAGAGAACTCTCCTTCATTCTATTATAAATATTTTGAAATGTTTGCATTTATGTTTTTAAAAAGAGTGTGTACTTGAAAAGTTCATCTGGTCTGTTACTGTGGCTTACAGGGAGAGCCAAGTGGTGGCTTAGGAGCCTTGCCCAGCTTCTAGGCAATTTTAGATATCGGAATGACATAGTAGCTCAGTTCACACGTTGTGAGCCATTTATGCCAAGACTTAAGTGCTCATTCCCTTACTTTTCAGTCCCTTACTTTTCTTAGAGTGATCATCACCATGGTTTGCCTCAAGTCAGAATGAGAAACCATAGTGTGAATGATGTGAATTTCTGATCTCAGTTTGTAGGCAAACTGCGGTTTGTGCAAACCAGGGAGTGAGGGAGAGAATTGGAGTGCATAAGGCAGGGGAACAAGAAACTACATGAGTCTTAGGTGCTGACATGATCAGCTTCAGGATGGGCAAATCCTCCAATTTCCATTTCTCATTTTTTCATTCTTAAGTTCAGTTTTCCACTTTCCCGCATCAGTTTGTGGTCTATTTATTTTTTAAAGTCCTTAGGAAAATTCACCAGTGTATTAGGGCATTCCCCCCCCACCCCATATACCCATTTTTGAAAAGCAGTTTCCCCTAATATAATGCAATTTTGTATTCTATTTTCATGCATACTTTACCTTAGTATGTGCAGTTGTGTACACATCCCTTGTCTGGATAACTGCATTGCAAAATTTGGAGAAATGTGAATTTCAAAGGATAGCTGTGTTTTGTGTGTGTGTGTTGTTTCAGAAAGTGTGATTAAGTAGGTGCTCCTTTAAATGCAGACCGAGTTGAGCTTCTCCCCCATCCTTCAAGCAACCAAATTCAAGCCAGTGGTTCAGTACAGAGATCATGCAACCAGCAGTCTTGTAACTGTGGTTAAGAGACTGAGTGTCACTTGAGCATTTGTGGAAGTTGCTTTGCAAGCCTTAGATTTATAAAGGATCTTGGATTGCTTCACACTCGGTTATATTTAGAAAATGACAGTGCTGTATTTCTGATTTATTATTCTGCCTTCTTTGTAATTTTGTAAAAAGACAAATCTAAGGCATAATTAATGTTCTCTTTGCAATTAGATTTTCCTTTACCATATCAAGCAGAGTTCTTCATTAAAAATATGAATGTAGAGGAAATGTTGGCAAGTGAGGTTCTTGGAGACTTCCTTGGAGCGGTGAAAAATGTTTGGCAGCCGGAGAAACTGAATGCCATAAACATCACCTCAGCTCTTGATAGGGGAGGCAGAGTCCCACTTCCTATTAATGACATGAAAGAAGGGTAAGCAAGTTTTCATTATATTTCTTCTAGCAGTCCAGATATTTTAGAATGTAGCTTACAACAAAAGCAGTAAAGAATCTTAAAGCAGGGGTTGCCAGTCTTTCTGGGCTAGTGAACGTATTTGGAATTTTGAGCAAGTGCCATTCAGGCAAGTCACAAAATGGCTGCTGTGTGGGTTTGTGGCATAACACAAAATGGCGGCTGGGGGGGGATCACATCTGGGTTAATGGGCTTGCGCACATATTTTTTTTGGAAAGCAAATAATAGAAATGAGCGCTACACTTCCGCTAGGTTCTGCTGGTTTTCCAGAACAGGCTTTTATCAGGTAAGAAAATGCCAGGAAAACTGAACAGAGTGCTTCCTGAATTCAGCCAAGATAATATCTGCTTCTTTGCAATTTCCACCCATTGATTCTAGTCCTAAGAGCCATTGCTTATAGGACTCAGTTTCCAGACCCAGTAATGGTAAAAGGTAAAGGACCCCTGGATGGTTAAGTCCAGCCAAAAGCAACTGTGGGGTACAGCGCTCATCTCGCTTCGGCTGAGGGAGCTGGCGTTTATCCACAGAAAGCTTTCTGGGTCATGTGGCCAGCAGGACTAAATCGCTTTTGGCGCAATGGGATACCATGATGGAAGCCAGAGTGCACAGAAACGCCGCTTACCTTCCCACCACAGCGGTACCTATTTATCTACTTGCGCTGGTGTGCTTTCGAACTGCTAAGTTGGGAGGAGCTGGGGCAGAGCAACCGGAGCTCACAATGTTGTGGGGATTTGAACTGCCGACCTTCCTATCGGCAAGCCCAAGAGGCTCAGTGGTTTAGACCTCAGCGCCACCCTAATCCAGACCCAGCACTCCTGATGCGGCCTGGCTAGCACAGAATGAACTGGGATTATTATGTCTCATAATTTAGAGACGATGCTTCTGTTAAGGTTGCTGAAGATTGCGTTAGATTTTTAAGCAGCCACATAGCGCTGCTGGCTCATGTTCAGCTTATGATCAAATGAGATCCTTTCTACTCATGCTTCAAAGCCAGGTTCTGCTTGCCGCCACCCAGTCCCAGCCTTTACTTGGAGCTTTGGGATTTTTTTTTGGGGGGGGGTTGTACCTAAATACAGAACTACACACTTATCTTGGTCAAATTTTAACCTGTGGGGTTGGGTCCAATATCTCAGCCTGCCATTGCTCCCAAGTGCATGGTTTGTGAAGGGTGCAGCTATACCACGCTGTGGCTTAATGCAGAGTTGAGACTGATAAACTGGCTAGGAAATGGTCAGTGCACTAGAAGTGCTTCAGACAGAATACAACTAGGCACAGCTTAGTGGTTGTTTGATAGACTCTGCCATGGCAGTGGGGAATTTGCTACCATTGCATCCTCTCAGTGCCATCCAGAGAGCTTTTCCGAGTAACAAAGATACCTTTTCAGCCTTGTCCCCTTCCCTGTGTTGAGGATCACTGCAGTTGTCCACTGTTTGCTTTGCTCTGTAGGCAAAGATGCTCACATGCAATCTGACTGAGACTCGGCTAGTTCTGTGGTTTCTCAGAAGGGGGCGGGGAGGGACTCGGTGCCCTCTGGTGGTCAAGTTTTATTCAAACATGAAGATATAAACAGGATCCTTTTGCTAAGCAAGGGGTCGGTCACTTGTTGATCTTGCTTGGTTAAGCTTAATAAGGGTTTTGGCCATTGCTTATTGCCTTTTCAAAAGGCTCCCTTTTACAAGGTGTAATGTCTCTGTTTTGAAGGAGCCCGTGCTATGTCTGATTTTGAAGTCCTGTTTGAGTTCACTGAATCTAAATATATACAGATTTATTTCCCATATTTCATTTGTGGACAAGGTGTTTTGAGAGGGCAGTGATGTAGGACCCCAGATTATCCTGGATAAACTGAATTTTGGTACTGTACTGGATCCAGTTTTTTGGTGACGCATTCAGAGAATCATAAAGCACATGCTGTAGTTTGCTGCCAGCTTTCATGTTGTCTGCTTTTGAACTGTGCATAATCTGCAAATGAACTGTGCAATAGAGAGCCAAGTGGAAACAGTGAGGAGCTCTTTCCATTCACGGACATTTGGATCCAACCCACTGATTGAAAATTTATCTGTGACCATCCTAAAACTGTCAACATTTCTTTGCAGTGTCTATGTTATGGTTGGTGCAGATGCTACATTCTCCTCCTGCTTACGGGAAGTTGAAAACCCACAAAATCAGCTGAGATGCAGTCAAGAAATGGAGCCTGTAATAACATGTGATAAAAAGTTCCGTACCCAATTTCAAATAGACTGGTGTAAAATCTCCTTGGTGAGTTGCTAGCTGGCAGTATTGCAGAACACACATAGCCAATTAGTCTTTAAAATAATCTTCTGGAGGGCAGATTATGTAGATTTCTTTTTAACCTTCTGAGGTTCATGGGATGGACATGAGCTGATGCTCTGGAATGCCCTCCCTAGAGAAGCCCATTTGCCCCTGTCGCTAAATGCTGTCCAGCGCCTGAAGAAAACCTAGTTGGTTAAACCAGAGATGGAGAACCTGGTACCCTCAAGATGTTGTGGGAGCCCAACTCTCGTCAGCCCCAGCCAGGATGGCCAGTGGATCAGGATGATAAAAGTTGTAGTCCAACAACTTTTATAGGGTCACAACTTAGCCATCCCTGTTTAAGAGTACCCATTGGGGAATATGAACTATCATCTGTCAGTAAGGTAAAGGGTAAAGGGACCACTGACCATTAGGTCTGGTCGTGACCGACTCTGGGGTTGCGGCGCTCATCTCGCTTTATTGGCCGAGGGAGCCGGCGTACAGCTTCCGGGTCATGTGGCCAGCATGACTAAGCCGCTTCTGGCGAACCATCTGTTTACCTTCCCTCCAGAGCAGTACCTATTTATCCACCTGCACTTTGACGCGCTTTCAAACTGCTAGGTTGGCAGGAGCAGGAGCTGGGACCGAGCAACGGGAGCTCACCCCGTCGTGGGGATTCGAACTGCTGACCTTCTGATCGGCAAGTCCTAGGCTCTGTGGGTTTAACCCACAGCGCCACCCGCGTCCTGTTCATCTGTCAGTACAGTGAACTAAATGGACCAACTGTCTGACTTAGGAACATAGCTCAGTTGGTTAGAGCATGGTAGATGCTGATAATGCCAAGGTCGCAGGTTCAATCCTCATATGGGACAGGTACATATTATTGCATTCCAGGGGGTTGGACTAGATGATCCTCAGGGTTCCTTCCAGCTCTATGATAGAAAGATGCCTTATACTATGAAAGAATTATGCTACTTGTCATTGCTGAAGAATTAGAGTTAAGGTATAACTAGTTAGTAACTCTTCAAACTATGGCACTTGCTCTGCAAGTCTTGCTTAAGGAGATACTTTCCTCAAAGCACAGAATCCTAAGTGTTCACAGTCCCATTGATTTCAATTGGATTTATTCCCCAGTAAATGTGCAAATATTTCATATACTGTATTGTTGGGACTCCCAACTCCCATCAGCCCTAGCTACAGGGCTAATGGTCAAGGCTAGCAGAGTCGCGACCCTCCAGATATTCTTAGGAGTTCCCCATCCCAGCAGTAAAGCAACCATTCAATGCTAAGTAAACCTCTAGCAGTGGTTTTGTGTCATCTCATCTTCTGTCGATCAATGACTGCTTGATTGTTTACTTAAAACTATATCTAGTATATCCTGGCTTTTCCACCTAAGGAGATCAGGAGTACAGTAAAAAACAACAACACATGACTCGTTGCTGCCGAAACGCCAAGAAGGGCTCAATGGCCTGATTATTGTTATTTTTAACTGGTGTCTTAAACACAACCCTACAAATCTCTTGTGGGAGGAAATTCCAGAAGTGGAGAGGGAGCCACCACAGAGAAGGCCCTCTAATGACTTGGCCTCTGATGAATTCCTGAAGGTCCAGCAAGAAGGGTCTCTGTGGAAGGTCTCAGTTCTCAGGCAGGGTTCTCTAGCTAACGCATGATGTACTTTGAACAGAAAGTGAAGAAAGTGTCTTGATTTTTATGACCAGATTTCTATACAGACAATGTGTGGTACAAATTTTCCTTTAAAAAGAAATTATGATTCTGGAGGGCTGTTGCTTAAACTCTGCTGTAATGAATGCTCAGTGGTACTGTTTGATGGTTTATGATCTCCATTTTTTCTCCCAAGGTTTTACTGTCTAAAATATATTTTGTCTGTTTGGTATCAGGTTGACAAAACACAGCACGTTTCCACCTATCAAGAAGTGGTCCGTGGAGAAGGGATCTTACCAGATGGTGGCGAGTATAAGCCACCTTCTGAAAGCCTGAAAAGCCGAGACTATTATTCAGACTTCCTCATTACATTGGCAGTGCCCTCCGCAATAGCCCTGGTGCTTTTTCTAATACTTGCTTATATTATGTGCTGCCGAAGGGAAGGCGTGTGAGTACTTTGAAACATTAATAAGTATTTTATAATTGTGTGAGTTTATAAGGTACATGACAAAAAAAAAAGTAGATGAACTTGATTCAGTTCATAAAAACACAGTCCATTTTTAGCCTTTTCTAAAACATGCAATAAAATCAAATTACAGCTACTTGTTAACTTTGGAATTAGAAATTTTATTTATTTTTAAAAATTCAAAAACTGAGCAACCCGTTCACAAAACTATTTAACCTGACAGTAATTTGAAGCTAATTAAAGGTAAACATAGTGTCTAACAGTTAAAATAAACCTTATTAAGATTGTGAACTGAATTTAGGATTATAAAAGCCAAAATCATTTTTTGAAAAAATAAAAGCAGCAAGCAACACAATTTCTTCCATTTTACATGCACCTGTTCTGGGAACATTTTAGTCCCACACCTGTCCTTTTAACGTGCATATTCACTTCTCTGTGTACATGTCTTTCATCTATCCCATCTCTTTATGTGCTTTCTTCATCCATGCCTTCTCATAAACCCTGTGGCAAATGCTTCCAAGTTGACCAAATGGTCATGATCCAAACGAATGTGCAGAAACAGGAACTTGATGTGCAGCCAACTCTTTCTTTGAACGTTTGCCATTGCTCCTCTCACTGCTGAAGAGGCAACCCTCCAAAATGCAGCTTGCCTCTTCGGCTATTAGAGCTGCAGAAACAAATCTCCAAAGGCAACTCCAGTTGCATGTATAGCTCTCATCTGCACACACCTGCATCTTCTTGAGATCATGATCCATTGCAACAGGACCAGCATTTCCATACCATGACTTATTTCCATCGGCAGTTAGATTTAATGTTCCAAATATCAATGCTATTATTTAATTCATAACTTTTGTTTTATTTTTAGGGAAAAGAGAAACATGCAAACACCAGAGTAAGTGTCTTCTTTCCTGTTATTTTCTCCCATCACTTAATTTTCATTTCCCAGTAGCTTCTCATGCTTCATACATGTATACCATCCTCATTCTCCTTAACTTGTTCTTCATCTTTGTGGTGGCTGCTTTGAAAAATGTAGAATCCTGAGAAACTGAGTAGGTCAAAATAAAAAGGGTTTAAAAGCTCATAATAAAAGAGGCCAGAATCAGAATATTATTATTCAGTTTTGAGGTTTGTGGTTTGTGATATTACTGTCAACTTCTATAAGGTAACCAAAAAATTATACTCCATAAAACTGCTTTTTAAAGTGAGGCTTCTATTAATAATTGTTAGCTAACCGCAAGAAGCCAAGCTCTAAAACATACCAAATAAAAAGCATTAACATCTGCACTTGGTTACATGGAACAGAATGCTGAAAAGCTCATCATACTTTAGAACAGGAATGGTCCAGTGTTGACAGATGGGTGGGACCACCCAGTTGTCAATCACCTAACAGCTGATCAGAGGTTGGAGCATCCTTTGAAGATGTACTTGCTGTAACCAACCAGCAGCTGATTGGTGGCTCCCTGAAACCTCTATGAAATTTGTTTGCAGGAAGTGGTTTGAAGCCAAACTGCTTCTTGCAGAGAAGGCGAGCTCCATTACTGCAACCGTGATGCTAAGGAGGTGCCCTCTCGGTGCTGAATAGGCCCTCTCAGAGGTCCAGAGAGTCCCAGGCCACTTCCCGCTTTTGAAATCCCTAGCTCTAATAAAAATTAAAATAACACCCAAAACCAAAATAAGGTACCAAAAATACACAGGGCAAGAATCTGAGCTTGAGGCCAAATCGCCCTCCTGCCCTCCACCCACCCCACTGGGCCTGGTGCTGATCAGCTGTCAGGGGTGTGATTTGTGGGATCCATGTTGGGCCTAATGAGGCCTGTGGGCTGGACTCTCAGTGGACCACTTCATAAATCCCCCCCCAACCTTCAGCACCAGCATCATAATCAAAGCCAGTGACACCTTGTGAAGATCACAGGCCCTAGGCCAAACCCTTGTAACTCTACTCATTAAATCCAGCCCTAATCAAAAGGGCCTAACAGTAGTGGGTTGAGAACCCTCTAGCTGAGGGCATAGGTCAATGCAAGGCCAGTGGGCAACCTAGAGGCGGCCAAGGCTTATCCCAGTGCAGCCAAGGTCAAAGAAGACATAATGTTGGATGCCTGATTGAATCAAATACACCTTGTACCTTATTTGCTTCTAAATAACAGTCAGCTTTTTTCTCTATGGTCCCAATGAAAATCGGCTCCCCCTCCTTGAAGTTGCTGTTCTTCCCAAGAGAGAAGCTGGCATAGATACCAATGGAGGCTTCCCTCCTGAAGGGCAAAGCAGTTTCTAGAAACCACAGGAGTGGAGGCTACTTTTCTTGAGGGTTTCTTGCTGGCATCTAAAAAGACCACTGGCTTGATGCAGGAGGCTCTTACATTCTTAAAGCAGATGTGTGTGTGAGAGAGAGAGGGGTGTTATTGAGACCATGATGGTGGAAAAATGGGTTAATCATGTCTTTGGATCACAGGCCTGGTTCTGGTCTCCCCCTCTGCCAGCTGTTACTCAGAAGAAGAAATTAGGCACATTAATTGCAGTTATGCGTCTAGCTTGTGCCCAGATATTCCAGCTGAAAACACAGGGAAAACCTGGGTAGATTGGATATAACCTGCCAGTGCTCTGTGACCTAACCCCTCTAAAAGTAATTTCCAATTTTTTAAAAAATCCAGTATATGCTATTTATAAACCTTGTCGTTTACACCGATGTTGTGGTAATCTATCAAGTGGCTTTAAATGTCTGTATATGTTTGTACTCTTTATTTCCACAACGCTAGCAATTCTATTAAATATGGGGGGGAAATGTTTCCTTTTGATCTAGCATCCAGCTGGTCCACCACAGTGCCATTCAGAAATCCACCAAAGAACTTCGGGAGATGTCCAAAAACAGAGAGATAGCATGGCCTCTCTCAACGCTGCCTGTCTTTCACCCAGTCACTGGGGAGATTGTGCCACCGGTTCACCCCGACAGCTATGACAACACTAGCATGCCACTGATGCAAACACAGCAGTAAGTATCACTCTTGGTGCCTAACACTGTGAGTTTGAGTTTTGCGGTGCTTCTGCTGATTTCTTCCATGGTGGTGGTGCTGTTGCCATCTCATTCTATAGGATGATTTGGCTCTTGCGTTTAAATAGCAAAGCTCTGGTTACACATTCCACTAACAACCCTTTCCCTAAGCAGAAGCCTTGGAGGCTTTTACTGTTTAGAGTTCAAAATAGCATACAATCGTTTTAAAGAGGCTTTATTATTATTATTATTTGTAGGAACCTGCCGCATCAGACTCAGATTCCGCAGCAGCAAACGGAAGGTGACTTTTTAAACTATTTCTTGAAAAGGCAAAATATGACCTAGTTATCAACAAGTGCTCACAAACTCATCGCAGCGTTCTTGTTCCCTTCCGCATTTTGCGGGGGCCTGGTTTCCCAAAGTTAATAGCAGAAGGGTGGGAAATGAGGAGCAGGGTGTGAGAAAGCTTTGTATTGAATAGGCCATAAGAGTAAGAATTAACAAAATTTAGATGGCATCTGTGAGATGCAATAGTTGAAACGGAAAAGAGTGAACTGAAATCTCCAATCAATATCACTTCCATGGAAATGAATGGAAAACATATCAATAGTTATCAGCTTGCCAGACAGAACAACCACCCTTGCCTTGCCTTTCCTCCCCACCTCACATGCTGTTTTGCGGTTCTCCTGGCCCTCCCCAAGCCAGAGTTCGTTAAAAGAATCCTGTCCTGCCTGAAACCCCACTTTTCTCATTTTTCCCCTTGGGAAATGTGCTCCACACTGGTGGGGTTTAGTGCTATGAATAGGTCTAATTGTTCTTTGCGCAGCCCAGTTATTCCTTAGTTGCTCCCAAGTCTCAAGTGAGCTGCATGGGATGAAGATGAGTGTTTCTTCTGTCACATATAAAATAAAAACAATTAAAGTTTGGGATCGCATATGTACTCCCAACCCCTTTTCGCTCTCATGGGTTCTCTGAATGACTGAACATGGTTTTAGTTATTAGTGTATCAAGTTGTGTTATGCCGAAATTTATAGAATTCTTGGTGGTTTGCATAACCATAAAATAAAACAGCAAAATCAAGGTTAATCAGAGAATCATTCAAATAGAACAAAGTCGGCAGTGAGTTTTGGGGAAACTTAGCATAAGTTTTGTAGACTTGAGTCAATGCATCAAAGGCAATCTGTAGCTAACAACTTAAGCTATCCATTCATGCATCTGATGGCCTCTTGGCCTCAGCGCCTTATGCTGCATATAGTATTTGTTAGTCTTTCAGGTACCACAAAGTGTTGTTTTTGCTGCAACAGGGAAAATATGAGCACACTTCTCAAGGTGTTTGGGTGACCTGTACAGGAATCTACTTTGAGGGGGCTTCTTTTCAAAAGTTTTGTTTTTTATTACTGCTTTCGGGGACTAAAGGAGAATTTCGTATGACAACGTTCCAAAGATTAGAGGCAAGTATTACATATAGTATTCTGCTTTCTCGCTGTTGGAAAACCAAATAATACAATGAAGCACATTTTACTATGAACTGTACATGTTGATTCTAGATTTGATTTGGGTGGCCACTCTCCCAAAAGATTAGGCACCCTAAGACTTGCATAGCAGATGAAAGTGATCTATGAAGTGATTGTGTAAGGATTCTTATTTAAAGGTGAACGAAGCTGACTTGCAATTCTCTAACTGTAAAATTAAAACCATGTTGACTATTGATCTTTCTAACGCCTTTTTGTGAATTGTCATTCACAGGTAAATGGTATACCTGAGGAAAGAAAACTTACAGAGGCAATTAATTTGTAATTAAATAAAACAGCCAATATCATCTTTGATTTCCTTATCTGCTTCAGTGATGCTTGAGTTTTTCTGATGGCGTATGCATGCCTCGTGTTAAATATTCCAGTGTCAGATGGTAATCATTTCCATATTACTAAATTTATTGTATTTTTTTGTACTTTGGACACTTTCAACAAATTTATAAAATGGTAACTTTTATATTTGTTATATTTAAAATAAACAAATATTAAACTATTGGCTCTTTCTTACATGGATTTTAAAGCAGTATATACTATGCAAAGGAGAGAAATGTTAGGACTTAGATATGAAGGCCACAGGGAAAAATTTTTTTGGGGTGGGTGGGAGATTTCCTCACATTTTTTTCTTCTTCTGGATCTTCGCATCTCTAGTCTCATGAGTAATTTTTGAATAATTCTTCGGGAAAAGAATAATCTTGGCGCAATTGTGTTGCTATTATTGTGTTGAGAACTGCTGGGTTAGGTAGTTACATTTATTTTAAATCATGGCAGAAACATGCTAAATAGACTTTGAATTAATAGACAATGTGACCTTGACATAATGCTAAAATAGTCCTTTATATGCTTATGTGGTTGGTTTACTTATTTCAACCTATGGTAATAACTGGAAAAAATGAGCATTCAAGTGCTATCAGAATATAGTCTGCTGAGTAAGGAATTTTGGAATCTGTAGCTACACTGCGATTCAGAAGTTGGCAGGCAAAAAGTGAATTACTGGCAGAAACCTTTGGTTACTGCAATCCTTAAAGATCGTCCCCTAACAGCTCACCTGCAATTTTCTGCATAACCCCAACGTTTGCATTATTTCAGTATTCTCACAAATTAGAATACAGAATTCAAATCAAGTATTAGACTCCTTAGAAAAAAATACCACACATACACACTTCTGCTTAATTGATGCTCCTTCCAGTACAAAAATAGGCACCCACAGCACACTTATTTAATGTTTAAATTACTTCATATTTTTCACATAACTTTAAAAGAAAATATATTTTATCCACATACAGTAATAGCAAACAAGTGCAATATTTCAAACCTAAAAAATAATCTTTAACCAAATCTGTACAACAGATAAATAAAATATCTACAATACTTGGTTTATAAACATAACAAAGTTCCCACCCCTAAGTAAAGTCATCTCACGCCTTAAATGTTACAAGTCAATTGTACATGCAGCCCATGGGCTTGCCACCCTTCACTGGCTTAGCCACTCAAGTGAAAAACAAAAAAATCAAATGCAACAATCAGTGGCGAAGAACAGTTTTACATGATTGTGAATAAACTGGCAACTGTGTATGGAGCTTGCACACTGTAGTTTGTTCACAGTGCAAGGAATTCAGTTCAACTTGAGCATTAAATGAAATTCATTTGAGATCCATCATTTATTTAGCGGGATCCTACCCCCCCCATTATATTTAAATTTGATTTTCTGTGACAGGATTCCAAAGTTGCCCCTGTCAAAAGTATACATCAGAAACACAGCCCATAAATGAAAAGCCATACTGTTTCATTATTACCTAGAATTGTGTGTATGCATCGAAAACAATACTGTCTTCATTCTTTCAAGCCCTAAAATCGTATGCAGCATACAAGCATAGCAGAGACAACCACTGAGGCCAAGACTCAAAAGGATCAAGCACCCCACTCCCAGGTGTGCACCTATATTTCTTTTAGTCAAAGTCTCTCTGCAAAAGTTACCTTGCTCCAGCAATCCAAAAATGCTATTTAAAACTCCCATCAATGGGGCCTGGGCACAAGAACTTTATAAAGGGTGCAGATATCACTGGTAGATACTATTTCCCTACAAGAATCCCCAAACTGCCTGTTGAAATTAACACAGCTCAAACAGCAATTTGAGATACTTCAGGGACAGCTTCTGAAAAGGAAGCTCAGCATGAAATTTGAATCATAACCCCTACATGATATACAGATATTAGGATGGTGTCTAGGATTTGTACTTGTCCTATTACTACTTTAATGTACCTTGAGGCTGCCCAAAATATGGCTAGAATCATGAATTCAAAAGGATAAAAATAATTCAGCTCCATTATGCTGCAATCTGTTCCTTCAACCTGAACTGCTGGAGTTTCCACATCTGCACAGCACGCTTAAGACTAACTAGGTTAAATTGAGAACATTAGAAATGATGTAATCCTAAAGGCCAGAACAGAAAACTAACCTTTTAGAATGTAAAGCTTGTTTAATCTATCCATTAAGGATAGAAAAACTATGCTGATTTTAACACACTGTCTGGCTGCAGCCCTTTAAAAATAGTCACTAGTAAAATACACTTCTCATGTACTCTTATGCAAGATATTAACCTCTTTCTACCAAAATGAAAAACACACACACAAAAACACCAGGATCATAATACTCCTAGCTAGGTACCTGACCTCTATACTTAAGTGTGTGTGATATAAACATTTCCAATTCCTATGCAGCTGGAGAAGGGGCACAGTTGAATAATATCCTAGCTGCCTCATTTTTTTTTACAGGGTGTGAGTACAATCCTATGACAGGAGACAAAAGGAAAATGTGATAGGAGAGGGGCAGGGGACTTTTCATTTTCAGTGAACTTTGGAAACCAGTATTGTAAGATACAAAGCACTGATTATGTAAACTAAAAACAGTGATGAAAAAGCAATGATTTTAGAAAAATCAACATGAGACCACTCAAACATTCAAAATTAATGTTAATTATGAAAACTTAAGGAAATGAATGAAAATGGATCATTGAAATGCTATGCTATACACTTTGTAAACATGGATAAGATTATAAATTAATGTGATCTTCCTCCAGTGCTTGAAGGCTTTCCTAGATATGTAGTAGCCATAGAAAACCAGTAATCCAGGGGTAGCCAATGTTACGGACCATAATTCCCTATCAGCCCCAGGCAGCATGGCCAATGGTCACATATAATGTGAGCTGCTCACAAAATGGTGGGGGGTGGGTGTCAAATTGGCTACCACTGCATTAATCAGAAACAAGTTACTAACCTCTTACTTTCAGAAACTCCAAAAATAGTAAGAAAAACCTGACCACACATTGATGCTGAATTCTTTAAAGAAAAGGCTATAGCTGTTAACCCATTTAACACTGTGCTGTCCACAGATAATAAACTGGCTTCCTTAAGTAAACTGACAGGATTTTAACTGCCTTTAAGGCTCCATGATCAGGGTCTGTTTTACTTCTTGCAATAAAAGCAGTTCTTTGAAACATACAAATACATCAGTTATGATATGCTAGTAATTATTAACAATTTGATAATGTCTCAACGTAAAATTGACGCAATAGTCTCTAAATGCCTCTTGAGCAAATCACACTCCATTCTTTAATTCTCCAGAGAGATGTAAACTGGAAAAACGCTCAAGTAGAAAATATGTCTTTTTTCACACGCAGTAGTATACAGTGTGTTTCTGTTTCTTCTTCCTTTAGTGGGTGGATATCCCCGTGCAAAGGGGTGACATTTCCACCATGTTCAGTTGCCTTCATTTTGATAGCTTTCCTTCGTTGCCCAGACACAGAGAAGTTGTGGTTGGTTTGTGTAATTCCAGTTGATTTTTATTTCTTTAGTTTTGGGCTCAGGCAAACACAATGTAAGCTTGAAGTGAAGCTTTTCGGATTTATTGAACGCTAATGCCTTGATTGTTCTTGAAATGCCGATAGAAAGAGAAGTCCAGAAAAAAATCCACCCACACAGAGCAACCTTTTCAGCAGAATTGCATTATCTTTCGGAACAACCATCTGTGCAAGATCATTTGTGATCAGGGAAATTTCATGCGCCACACACACAAATATAAAAGTGCTGACAATAATGTTGAGCATGGGATTGCCAGGAATTAGAACCAAGATCCCCTTGGTATCTGCTGCCAGCCAGATATGGTACTGACAGATGAAGAGCTGGAAAGGGAGAAAAAATGAAGTTAGAATTGTACTTATCATGAAAATAAGCTTTAAGCCCAAAGCTGGTTTGGAACACTGGGCAAATATGCTATAAATCGTATGATATCTGACATGTTTGTGTCACAAGAGCAACAAAGACTTTAATACAGGCTAAAGTCTTATGCAGAAATACCAACAGGATTTCCTGGGTCTGGTACGTGGACAATGCGCTCTGCTGCACTTGCAAAAGAGGGCACAAGGTCCCCAAAGTTTGCATATACTTTGTGTCCTAGGCAAATTTGTGTCCTCTCTGGCAGGTATGACCTGAAAATGAATTAGGGCCCCAAAACAGGTAATAATATCTACCACCCAGAAGGTCAACAGGCAAAGTTCACCCCACCCCCCACTTTAATTCTACATCCATACTAGAAAACGTTTAACCTGTTGAATTTCTGCTTGACACACAACTGTTAAAGACACAAGAGTCCTCTGCCTCAGTGTCAACCAGAAACCATGCACAGAACTGAAGCTTTCTGAGTTGTAAGCCAGCTGTGTTGCTGTGCAGGTCTTTCATCACTTTGTATTAGGTTGGTTACATTTCAGGTGGTAGCTGAGATAGATTTAAGATTGACAGCACCAAATTCCAGATGCCCATAGCTGGACAAATTCAAAATTGCTTTGTTAAAAAATGAAGCGGTATATCAGAGGAACATTTTTGTGCCTCTATATCTATACCACGTAACAACTATAGTACAGCCACCCAATTCTCGATTGTACATAATGCCAGATAACAAATCGACTAAAGTTTTATTGTAAACAGACTTAAGTGTTTGATCCTTTAAATTACAATAAAATTATACTACTTGCCTCAAGGGAAATTCTGCCAAACCAAGCGAAAAATGAACTATATACAGAACGTGCATAGCCAGGTATATTCCTGATAAGGATAAAAGCTAAAATCTGAAAGACAAAAGAAGCTGCGTGAAAAGATGTTTTAGGCTGTAATCCTGCTCACTTAGTTGGAAATAAATCCTTCTAAACTCAATGGTTCTGAACAGACAACCTAAGATTGAACGTATTTCATACATTTCATAAAATGCAAAACCTACTGGCTTTCAAACTGTGTGGTGCAGAACGTTGCGTTCTGTGTGTAGTAATCAGAATTCTGCAATGTGGGGAGTGGGGGGTGGAATGAAGATCCTAGCCTTGTAAAATTGCTTCCACTGAAAAACAGCCAGTGTGGCCTTTGCAAAGAAATGTATTAGATATCAAACAGCTATCGTCCCAACAAAAGTCTAAGCAGTAGCTGAGCATATGAGAATGAGGCTGTGTGAGGCTTGGACTTATGCACCTCCCGCTCTCCATCCAGCCAAGTTGTGAAACTGGAAGCAGCTACTTCCTGGTTTCATCAACAACAACAAATTTATTAAATTTGTGAGGTCCATGCCTTTACACAAAATACCATAAAACATTATTAAAAGATAAACCAAAAATATTATAAAAGTAAGCTAAAATTCATGCCATGTTGTCCCAGCAAGGAAACTACCCAAACTACCCAAAAAAACCCCACCATTCAAGGAAAAAGGTACAGCAACAGGTTAGGAGAGCAATGGGAGGGACCTCACCGTTTCATCCAGGAACCATACCCTAGTTTTCATAGCCTTCACCACAAAGACCGCTACCACGTGAGAAATCCGTGGATCAGCGTCTACCAGTAAAAACTTTACTTGGTCCTCAGAGTTGACTATTGATTTAGGAATAGTTTGTAACATCGCATCCCTGAAGGCCGAATAGATGGGACAATACAACATGTAATGTATGAGATCCTCTTTGGTTCTCATATAACAAGGACATATCCGCTGCTCTACTGGGATTTTTGCATATCTGCCTGACAGATAGGCCGTAGGAATGGTTTGAAAACGGGCCATAGTAAAGGCTCTCCGAAGAGTGGGATTGGTGATATTCGCCAAGTAGTTGGCGCATATTTTGACTGCTTTCAGTCGGGGAAGCCAGTGGAAGGACCCTGGGATCTGTATTTTTGTGGTATCTAACAGAGCGTCTCTCTCCAGGATCCATTTCCGGACTTTGTCCGGGCTCCACCGTTTGAGGATATTAAACTCCGGTAGGGTGTATCTAATACTTCCTGGTTTAAACTAACCACAGTTTGTTGTTGCATCCCAATGGAGCCAAACTGTGATTTGTTCAAACTATGGCTCATCAACACAAGCTGGGAAGCAAAACCGTCTCAAAAAGCCAGTTTATGCAATTGTAACCTATATTTTAGCCTTACATCTGAACCAGGCCTCACCGAGCACCCTGACGTATACCATATTTTTTGCTCTATAGGACACACTTTTCCCCCTCCAAAAATTAAGGGGAAATGTGTGTGCGTCCTATGGAGCAAATGCAGGCTCCTTGGCTTCAGCGATAGCAACGCAAAAGCCTCCGAAGCGCAGAGGGAGCGCTTTGCGTTGCTTTCGCTGAAGCCTGGAGAGCGAGAGGGATCGGTGTGCACTGACCCCCCTCTCTCTCCAGGCTTCAGGTTCCTTTCGCTGAAGCCGGGAGAGCAAGACTCTCCTGGCTTCAGCAGAGAGGGAGAGCTGTGCAGCGCCCCTTAAGCCAAGCAGGAGGAGAAATGGAAGGGGCTCCGTTTCTCCTGCCGCTTTGCTGAAGGGGCGCTGAGCACAGAGGGGGAGAATTTTTTTCCCTTGTTTTCCCCCACTAAAACAAGGTGCGTCCTATGGTCGGGTGTGTCCTATAGAGCGAAAAATACGGTATATGAGAAAACTAATAAATACTGTGTCCCATCAGCCCCAGACGACATGGCCAATGGCCAGGGATGATGGGAGATGTAATAAACAATCTCCGGAAGGCCAAAGGCTCCCCATCTCCGCACTACGGTATCACATTCTAGCTTGGCTAGGAAACTGAGCACAAGGTGGGAGAAGGCCAATGAAGGGAGCTCAGCTGGAGCTCAAGTGGACACCAGTCCTCTTGTCAATGTTTCCTATTCTAAGCTCTGGGACAAAGAATTTCAGGCCGGATTTCTTCAGTCTAAGTAACTGGATGCAACACACTTCGGGGAAGGGGGGGGAATGAAGTTCTGTCCCTGAGGCTCTTCTGTAATTAGGAAACAGTCTCGTCACTTGATAGGGGAATGCCAGCCTCCCGAAAGAGAGAGATGGCTAGATGTGTGGGTTTTGGCACCTGACTACCATATTGCCCGAACCCTGTGCATAGGGACCTGCAGTCTTCAGCCTAACTCTAATCATTTTATAATGTATTTTGAGATTGTCAGTCTGCAAAAAAAGGGACTTATTTTAATTAATGGCATGTATGCTGCTCTTTGGTTGAAGAGTGGAATAAAATGCTCTAAAATAAATAAATTGCAGACCTATTACTATCACAGTAGTGCCATTATGTTCAAATGCTCTTACTTTGTTTTGTTTGAACATGTTTATGATCAACCACACAGGTGGGCAAGAGGGAACGACCCCAGACAATTGACCTATGTGCAGCAATCTAAGGTGCACAAAACACCTTAGATTCCTGCACATTGTTTGACTCTGCTCCGCCATTACTTGTGAAGGCCAGATTTCTCAGTAGTTTTGTAAGCCTTAGCACTTTACATCCTGGGTGAGTGTTTATAATCAAAGACTGCAATTACAAGCAACAAAGGGAACACAATTACCTGCACAACTGAAACCGAAGGATGCATTTCATTGCACTCAGTTTTATTTTTACAACTGCTGGCCCATATAGAGTACGTCTAAAATATAAACATATATACTATTATACATTTATTTATTTATTTTCCCCTGACTAGACTCAAGGTGGCTTACAGATAAAAATAAGAATAGCTAAAAACATAGGGGGGAATAGTTAAAAACAATTAAACACTGATAGAATTAAAACTACATATATGGAGGATACATCAAAGAACACAATTATTTTGCAGTGCTAGAAATGAATTAGTTTATTCAGTGGAACAGCAGTGTTGGCCCTACAAATTACACTTGGACTGCAATCCTATGCAAGCATACCAGGAAGTAAGCCAAATAAAATGGTGTTTAATCATGAATAAACCTGCACAGATTTGGAGCCTTAGAGATGGTTTTCTTCTGTGTTGAAATACCCGATGCCCCCCCCCCGAAGTTATCTACTTTATTCAGTGTAGTTGGGCAAAACTCTTAAAAACAATGTCAGCAGACCAATAACCTTGGCTTCTTATGGCATGCCTAAGGCTTGCTACTAATTTTCATGAAGACTGTCCCCACTCTGAGTAACTATTCAGGAATTAAGAAAGACAATAGCTGAGTAAGGTATCTCAGAAACTTACCAAAAAAGAAACAACTGAAATAAATAATAAAACATTAGAAACTTTGCTTGGAAAGAGTGGCTCCCCCTTTCCTTCTGAGAGGACTTGCTGTTTTTGAAATGTTAGATAAATAAAAGCAAACAACATCCCATGAAAAACGACCTGCAAGAGAAAGGAAGAACTGCTCAGTTGAAGGATTTAGCAAAGGCGCAGCTAAGAAGACAGTTCAGTTCAGGTACCCACACGTAATGGGCACATTCACCAACAATGCCTGAATTTAAAGAACCAATGCCAGTCTCTTAAGGCGCAACGGGATGGAGTTAGTCTCTCTGGGTCAGGCAAAAGTGCCCAATGTGCTCAGTCTAATCATGTATTACTGAGCAACTGTATAATACAGTGGTATCTCGGGTTACAGATGCTTCAGGTTACAGACTCCTCTAACCCAGAAATAGTACCTCGGGTTAAGAACTTTGCTTCAGGATGAGAACAGAAATCGAGCGGCGGCAGGCCCCATTAGCTAAAGTTGTGCTTCAGGTTAAGAACAGTTTCAGGTTAAGAACAGACCTCCAGAACGAATTAAGTTCTTAACCCAAGGTACCACTGTATACAAAACTACAGACCAAGGATTTACAGCAGCTCTGGGGAACCTGTATAGAGCCTCCTGAGATTATCTGATTCCAACTGCTATCAGCCTCAGTCAGCATGGACAACAATCAGGGTTTGTGGGAGCTGTAGTCTGGCAACATCTGGAGGCCACAGGTCTCCTACCACTGGCTTACAGCCACTAATTTGTGTTCCCTGAGGTTTGCTGCATACATTTTCACAAATAGGGCCAGCTAGTAAAATAACCAGAGCACTTTACTAAACTTTTTTCTTCTTTAATTTCATTTTTCAATTATTTCAAATTCCTGCATTGCAGGGGGTTGGACTAGATGACCCTCGGTTCCATTCCAACTCTACAATTCTATGATTTGAAGAGTGAGATCATAATTTGCTTTCACTCGCCTAAGACTGGCAGCCATAATTGACAAAGGCAAAGCACAAAAACAACATTAAAAAATAAAAATAAACTGTACTTACGTATCTATCTAATTTCCACCTAAACCACCATTCATAGATGCTCCCATTTAGTTCAAAGCCCTTGGACAATGGCCAAATAGAAAAAATCTTCTCAAATGCACCCTGTAATAAACAGACATGAAAAGAATATAACAGTTCAGTCACATCAATGGGCCATATAACACAAACATTCCATTTCTAACAGCAGGTAAATGGAGATGCTCAGGGACCTTCATAAGATTAGAATAAAATACTTGATCATTTCACAGTACATTTAAGTCCAGCATCCTAAAATCACAGACAGCCTATTAGGATTTGTCCCCCTATCCAGGCATGTGAAAATACCCATTCTTTCACATTATAATGTTCTGCATCTCAAGACTGGCAAAGAAAGAGACTGCCTTGTGCATTCTGGCGTTGTGTACAAGGATCTATGGATCAGAGCCACAGCTTGCAATGATGTAATGTATAATTGCAGACACTATCTACACTCAACAATTTGGAAAAAGAAACATTCTGTTTCTTGGCTGTAATCAGACATATATTCATGATATCCATTAGTGTGGATTACTTATTAAATGCTTTCTGTCTTCAGGCTGAGAAAACAACAAAAATGAGGGAAACACTACTAATAGGCAAGAAAGAGGACAGTCAGGAACCTATCAAGCAATTCCTCCAGGAGAGCTGAAAGTTGGCCAGATGTATAATTTAATTTAATATTTTGCTGCTGAAGAGACACTCACAACCAACATTTTCTTTTCATTTTTTGTGACAGTAAAATTGCTGAAGAATATCCTTATTTTAAAAAGAAACAAAAAGGATGCATCCATGTTCCCTGAATAAAAACAGTAAAGGATTCTGCAATGTTTAATAAACTTAATAAACTTTTCTTAATTAAACATCTGTTTTAATCAGCTTTCATCAAAGTAAAGCTTTTAACTCTCCTATTAAAAAAATAATAAAAACAGCTGGATTCCCTGCAAGTCTTCAAATGGAAACAAACAAACAAACAAACAAACACGTCCTTTAAGTTTCTGAAAAGAAAATACATTTAAACTCTTACACACACACACACACACACACACACACACACACACACACACACACAGATGTTTTGAAATCCATGCCTAATTGTGAGGGCGTGAATAATTCTTTCCAAAGGAACTAGGAATTGAAGAGTTGCAAGTGCTTTGTAGAGATGGTTGTGAACAGTATTCTCTCTTAGTCAAGTGCCATTCAAATGCTCAGAATAAGGCCACATACGCCATAAACCTTATGCTGAAGTCACAGCTGAGTTGCATTTTAGCCCTGAAGAGCAGGCAGCATTGGCAAAACGAAAGCATTCCATATACAAAATATATTCTCCCATTCAGCTACGAGGTTTTTTTAAATGCACAGCTGAATGTGGAAGCACATGCTTCTCATGCAGTTCCTCAGCCTGAGCACAGCCTGGTAAGCAAAGCTGGAATCCCATCAATCAGGAGAGTGGGGTTGGGAGATTAATAACAGAGACTTCAAACCAGCTGACAGGTGCTATTCAAATGTCTTTTATCAGGCTGCTGCTCATCTGGGCTGCAGAATTTCCTATTCTAAAAGCTTCAGAGTGGTTCACTAGACAGAGACAGGAATACAGTTCTCCTGAATATTAAATCCAATCATTCTGCAGCTAGATGTTTTCAATTATTTTTATGGTCAAATATCAGAAAGCAAACATGATCTGGTTTTCATTTATAATATATTCATACAGTGGTGCCTCGCAAGACGAAATTAATCCGTTCCGCGAGTCTCTTCGTCTTGTGGTTTTTTCGTCTTGCGAAGCACGGCTATTAGCGGCTTAGCGGCTTTAAGAAAAAGGAAACAAACTCGCAAGACGTTTCGTCTTGCGAAGCAAGCCCATAGGGAAATTCGTCTTGCGGAACGACTCAAAAAATGGAAAACTCTTTCGTCTTGCGCGTTTTTTGTCTTGCGAGGCATTTGTCTTGCGAGGTACCACTGTATTTTAATATCAACAAAATGCAGCAGAAAGAATCTTGTTGTTCTAACTGCTCCTTTTCTTAATGATAGAAATGCCCAAACATTTAATGCCCAAACATTTTTGATATGCCTCTCCTCCACCCCACTAGAAAAATGTTGGGACCTGGGGTTTAGCAGCCAAGTCTACCAAGGTTTAAGCAAAGGGGGGGAAATACTCTCTCCTCAAAACAAAACAACCAGTTTTGGATGCAAGCACAGGCTGATGTGCTTTGTGAAAGCAGATGCTCCACCCTCAGACCTCTGAATGAACCCAAGCATTCCAACACCAATTTCTGTGGAAACACTTAATGGATTTACAAAAGAGCTAAAAGCATGTCCTCCGCTCTCAGATACCACAACCTGTTCCTTACGGAAGCAACAGGCTGGTTGCCATGACTGTCCCATAGCTGCAAGTGCTTTGCTTTTGAACACAGCTTAAATGTTTGCTTTCTAACATGCCTTAGAATCCAAATATTTAACTTGTACCAAAATATACAAATCATACAAACCTGAGAATATGCTAGAAAATATATACAGATGAACAGGGAAACTAGTTTCAGCAGTAAACCAAAATGCCAGAAGCAACTGCCTGTGGACAAGAGCAAAAACAAGACTAATGTTAGGCAGTAAGCTTTTTTTATTGCATTTTTTTTTACTGTTGCTGCTTTTACATTATACCCAAGAGGGACAGCTGTGTGTAGGTGGGAATGAACATTCAGATAGAAATTCTTCTGAAAGTGCTGCAATACGGAAACATGACACCCACCCACAGTACATTACTTCAATAGGATGCCCTTCCTAACCCACATTCCACCCCAGCTAGTCATGTATTGTTAAAGCAGACTGCAGCAAATGTCTGACTGGGCAGCACTGGAGGGCAATGAAACAGCCAGTGCGGCACTAACCAGATAGTCATGGCAGCAGGGGCAGCTTCACAGCCCTCCCCACAGCCAGGACGAGGGTTTCATTTGCCCCCAGTGACATTACACAGCCAACTCTGATTGGCTATATGGTGTCAAGGTGGTGACATTTTCACTAAGTGAACCCTGAACAAGCCCTTTTGAGTTAGGAAGAGAAAAGAGAAGCACCAGATCAGGGAAACTATGGCTGAGAAAAGTATGTGAAAGGTAGTGTTATTTCCCTCCATGGACCCTTCCGGCGGAGAATTCTCTCTACTCAATAAGAAGGTAGGCCACATATTACCTTGAATTATGGCTCTTTGCAGGCCATCATTCAGCATTAAGCTCGCAGGCCAAGAGGTGAACCAAGCATACAATAAAAAAAACCTAAAAACTGAGGTATTCAGGAGCCTACTACAAACTATATAATGGTGTGTCCAAACACATATATTTTATATCCATCTTTTGATTGTTTTAAAAGTGCAAGTTAATTTTCTAAATAGTTATACTATTTTCTCTTAAATTGTTTTACTGTTTTCTGTTAACCAAACACAAGTAATAGGTTAAATATTGGGATCCCAAGATAATAATAATTACCTAGGCTGGGCTCACCCTTTAATGAAAGTAAATAGGCTAGGCCTGCCTCCTTTCCCTGACCATTCCCCCATCTTCAACCCTCCCTTCCCACAAATGGCCACATTAACAATGATAATCTGTGACTATCTTCTGTTATGTTATTTGGGTCAGCAACTAAGGCAGATAGAATATTTTTGCTTTACAAGAGTGTAGTTTGATTTTACTATTGAGAATGCCATGTATTAAAAAAATCACAATGCTCTTTAAAGCTGAATATAACTGAAAGCAAAATAAAGTGCTTAAGTTATTTTAATACAAAAGAGAATCATATTTACCATTGGCCTTCTTCTGGACTATTTGAGGCCATAGAGCTAATGTAACATATATGATCATAAACCAGACAGTGACTAGAGGAACAAAGTAATAGAACTGGTAAGACCGATCCATCACTATGCACAACACCACAACCAAGAAATTCAGTCGAAATAAAACCTGTTAAATATTGGAGAAAAGGGGAAGTATTTCTTTATTAAATGTAAGGAATGGCAAGTGATTTTTCATGTATATTTTAGTGCAAACAACTTCAACAAGGTAACATTTGCATCTCAAGTGACAGAGTACCACAAAGCATTCATATCTTGAATTATTTTTATTACAGTAAGCTTACGTAACAATTTTGCTGATCAGGCTTTTCAAAACATAAAATGAAAACAGTTTAAGAGAAGCCAGCCTTCTACAGACTTGCTCTATCCAGCTGCTCTGTATGCACAGAACAGCGTGAAATTAAAAAACTAACACAACACAAAATAAATTCTTGCCTATATAACTATTGTTACTGGGTATCAACTGTGAAGTAACCATTTCTTCTTCTTATTTAATATTAAAGGATAGCTATTTAGAGTTGTGGATGGCTATAAGTTTGGTTGCAAGGTTATATATCTCAGGTTACATGAGGCATTAGGCCTCAGACCTCTGCAAAAGTTACAATGTATGGTGCTTTAAGTGTGACAGAAGCCTTGGTTACAGATTATTATTTTTTAATTATCTGCCCTTCATCCTAAAGTCCCAGGGCGGGTCACAACATTAAAACATAGTATTAAAGACAGTTTAAAACAACCTACAATTCCAAAAAAGGTGGGTCCTAAAAACATACACTTCAAATGTCAAAAGCCAGGATAAAAAGGTACACATTCAGAGTTCTCTGGAAGCTATATAATGAAGGTGCCAGATGTACCTCTCTGGGGAGGGAGTTTTACAGTTTAGGGGCTACCACAGAGAAGGCCCTCTCCTGGGCTAACCCTCACACCCAATTTCTAAATGCAAAGAGGGCTCCAGTTGCTAAGGAGGGGGAATCTTAGGCAATTAGTGCTGAAAGAAAACAAAATCATACTCTGGTGGCAGACTTCGGGAGATTTAGGCTTCAGCTAAGGCAGGGTTTCCGAAACTTGGATCTCCAGCTGTTTTTGGACTACAACTCCCATCATTCCTAGCTAGAAGGGCCAGTGATCAGGGATTATGGAAACTGTAGTCCAAAAACAGCTGGAGACACATGTTTGGGAAACCCTGAGCTAAGGCAATTGGGATCCAGAGAGGAAGCGGTGAGCTTTTGTCAGCCTCAATGACTTTTTTGAAGTCTGGCCTCCTACTGAATAGGGAACGATCCAACACTAGGAAGTGGCAGTGGCAGTGGGCAAAGTACTGGGTTACATTTGTAGCGGTCACTCAGAATTATTTTTATACACATAAAAGCTTAATTCACTTCTTACCTGACACACTCTATAAATGCCAAAATCTCCTTTAATCCAGAAGTATGAGAAATGCCCATAGCCCGTTTGGAATAGATATGCAGCAACCAATACACGGATGTGCATGTACACTGGCAGAAACTATTAATAAAAACATAAATTTTATTTTTTTAAAGTTAGGTAACTTTCAATGATTAAATCCCACATTAAAGTGTGCAAAATGAGTAAGTTTCCCCCCTCACTTTATTCTGCTTTTGAATATAATCTCGTTTACAGAACTTTAAAGCTCACTATGTCTCATCACCTTCTAAACTTATTCCACATTCTGGACTTCCTCAACTATCTGTTCCACAGCTGAACAGGCAGGCCTCACTATGCAAAGATGCTTGTGTACAGGATGGCACTGAATTCAAGGCCGCGGTGATTAACCTTTTGGGAGCTGAGGGTCACAATGATCCATGGTCAACCTTTGGTGGTGGTGAGGATCACATGTCAAAGCTAGACGTGTCCTGAGTAAAAGTGGGTGAAAATGAAAAGTAGACATGGTGGGAAAGGGGCTGGAAGTCACAAAAATCTTTTGGCATATCCAAATCACAGCAGATGACCTACAGTGGTAATTAGTGAATTTATTATTATTATTTTAATGTAGACATTTTGTGGGGTCTTAGCAGCCATGGAAAGCCTTCTGCCATCATAGTATTACAGTGGGGGACCAATAGGAGCAGTAAGAAATAATTTGGTGGTGGTGGGGTTTCAGGGGGGTTTCATGTGGCCCATGGGCTAGCCATCTCTGCTAGGGTTGGAGCAATAATCCAAAAGTGAAATTAGAACAGAATAGGACATCTGACTTTCCTAAAATCATCCAGAAGCATCATTAAAACAAAACAGCTACCATTTCCAGATCAGGTTGGGATGATCAGACAATAGGGAGGGGGTGAAGTCACCCCTCCACACACACAAACCAATAAGGTTCTTCTGCTAGGATAATTCAAATCCATTGTGGATAGTTCTGAGAGGAAATATCCACCTGCCTGAAGATGGGTACCATGCCCAAGGTCTATTTTCAGAACTGCTGGGTTAAAATTTAGTAAGCCTACTAAAGACGGCATCATATATCAGTGGCATCCTCACCAATTAAAACACTTTCATGCACAGTACAGCACTTTGCACCACAGGTGAAACGAGGAAATTAAATTGTCACTTTTTTTTTGAAAAGTACATCTTTCAAAACAGACCTTAATCACCCCAATATGGAATTAAAACAGAGAAGAAAGACATCATTTAACTATTCAACTTTTGCTTCAGTAGTAAATCACGCAAGACTATTCCTCATGCAAAAATTGTTAAAACTGCAAAACAAACTTACAGTGCTTGCTCCAGAGATATGATAGATCAAGATGACAAGCTGCATCCAGCCTTTCCATTCATCTGTTTGTTCCCTATTTAACACCTTAGTCTGTGCAAAATAAAAACAGAGAATTGCTGTTCCAACAAGTGCAAGCAGAGCACTACAAAACAAGGAAACACTATAATGGGGTGGATGTGTCTAAAACTACTATATAAAGGGAAGTGCAATAACTGTTATTCTCCAATTATGTTTTATGTATTTTGCACCACTAAGAGTGGGCTACAATCCACATGACTGATACAGAACTCTGTGTAAACAGTACGACAACGGCTGAGTGCTTTGGCTCCCCATCTAACATTGTACTCTGCCTGATAGACGGTTTTGAAAGTCAAGGGACAGAGGTCCCAAAGAGAAGCCTTGCTGAATTTACATTTGGCATTCTGGCTCAGGGTCATGGACTGAGTAAATGTTGTCAAAACATCCACAACTGCTCATCTGTTGTTTATGCACGGCGTTTTTCTGGAAGTGACAGTTTTATTTGAATCTATCTACAACAGGGTTGGGGATCCTTCTTCTGCCCGAGGACCACATTTCTTTTTGGGCAATCTTCCAAGAGCCGCATGCCAGCGCTGGACAGGCCAGAAGCGGGCAGACAACTGAAGGAAAATGTTACCTTTGTACAGTAGACTAGTTTCTACATGCACCTCTCACTGTCTGCCATCCAGGCAAACAAGAAGCATTAACCCCTTTTTTGCATTGCCTTCATTGTTATTGTATGTAACCTGTTTAAAATTGTAAACTCAAGAAAAACACTTTTTACAAAAAGAAAAGACAGGAACATTGCCAGAGTTCAAGGACACATCCCAGTCAGACAAAGAGCCTGTGATCTTTCATAAATAAAAACAAAAATAAAACGGGCTTACCTCTTTAGTATTTTCCGTGTAAAACACCCCTAACACTAGGATATAGATGATTGGTATGAAGAAGGATGAGTGAGTGTAAAACTTGTTTTCTTTCATGAACAGATTTGCTCTGTCGCACAGGTAGAAGTAACCCATTATCAAACCAAGTCTGCATAAACACTGCAAGGCTGTCTCTAGAGTAGAAATGGCTGGAGTGTTGGTGGCAGGTTTCTTCTCTTCTCCACTCTCCATATCTGTACATGGCTTATTCTTCTGGTGATTGTTACGACGTATGAGAACAAGAATTAAATATCCAATTATGGAGGAAGCAAAAAAACCAAAGGCTAGTTTTTGTATCAAAGTGACAGGAGGCTGAGGCTGGCAGCACGAACCATCGATGGGCTTTATAACCTTGTTGCAGTGGATGTTTATCAGAATCATTGCATTCTGTCCAGGAAAAAAACCATAATTCCAGCAATTAGGATATGGAATTGAAAATGTCGTACAACTCACATGGTCTACATGAATGGCAGGATGTTGTTTTCTTTTTTAAAAAATAAATAAAACAAAATACTGTTTTTAATTTGTTTCACTGAACAAGTCCAAACTATGGGCATCAAGAGACAAACTTTTTCTATTATCCAAGGGCCAAATTAAATGAGATGTTGGGAGATCCATGATTGGATCTCCCATAGTTTAACCTAAAACAAAACAAAACAAAAGTGGAAGATCCCATCCTCAACCTCACAAACCTTTGGGATTTTTTGACCCTTCGTATTCAGGGTGACAACACTGCTAGCATCCACTGCTCACCGTATATTTTTCTAATCTGTGTTTGACCTACTTCCACCCCCAAATTCCTTTCAGAGGAATGCAGTGTGCCGATTCTGAAATTATACTTCCTGTTTTAAATAAAGATGCTTTATTTTTGTTTTTAAATAGAACAGAACTTAATAGAATAAAATAGAACAGTATTAATATAGTACTCCCCCTTCAGCATTCAAAAAACTTTCCATATATCTATTGTGTTCACATACAACATTAAACCATGGATTAGCACTACATCCACACTCATACTTCTGTGAGGTTGGAGAACTTTGCTATTTTCAGTTTCATAGAATTCTGGCCAACTTTGTAATCCGTGGTTGATGTAGGGTTGTTCTGAAACTCCCCCAAGTTTGTTTTAAAGCACTATCCAGGACTTTATGAAACCAGAAGTAAACCAATTCCTTCTCCTAGTCACATATGAGGGGAGAAAAGACAGAAACAAACAGTGCTAAACTATGGTTAGGAGTTATGTATACAACAGCTCTGTAGGCAATCAGCAATTCTGATTTCTCTAAGCATCACATCCTTAATACAAAGCAGTATACAATGATCTACACATATTTTTTATTAAATAGTTTGAAAATAATTCTGTAAACAATACTTGAAGAGAAGTCTCATTATTATTTTAATTTATTACCCACCCTTTCCCCTAAGGTCCCAGGGAGCGTTACGACAATTTACAATACAATATTAAAAACCCATTAAAAACTTACAACTGCTAAAAATGCAGTAGCAACAAAGTAGTGTCTAATAAATCTAATAAAAATTAAGACAATTTCCTACAATTGTCAGTCTTTTGGCATTCTAAATCTTAAAGGCTGTTTTCTATAAAGAATAATAGAATGTAGAGCTGGAAGGGAGCAGGAGTCATCTAGGCCAGTCCCCTGCAATGCAGATTACTTACTATTTCTCTGCTTGCTTCCGAAAGGTGTATACCATCTGAGGACTGACTTATAGTTTCTTCTGCTATCAGCCTAGATACACTGAAAATTTTTACTTTAGCTTTTGAGTTTTTTGAGCTGCTGTTCAGGATACTGATTGCTGCTTCATTGTAGGCATCTATTTTCTCATTAGTGATCATTTTCCTGCTTTCACTCAACATATCTTCATAAACTGGATCTGATGTCAAAAGAAAATGGGGATTTTTAAAAAAGAAGCAATGAAATAAATAAATAAATACTCAAGCTCTAGATATACTATTTTCACCTGCTAAAATGATCCACTAAAATAAGCCTCGCATGTCTCTCCAGTTAGACCCTTAGAGGGAGCCCTTTTCAAGTCTGTGCAGAGGGAAATACGCTCCTAAAATTGGAGCACTTTTCATTCTGCAAAGAAAGCAGTTTGCATTTAAGTTACTAAGGGAAGCACTTTGAATACTGCTTCCTTTGGAAAGAAAAAATGCTCCTTTTAAAAACAAAGGCATTTGAAGCCCCTTGGTGAGCAGTAGGGAAATGCTGCACACGGAGCTTTGGAAATTTTGTGCTTGTTGATTGGGAAATGCTGAGTCCAGGTCTTGCAGAAGAGTTTGTGCCATGATTTAAAAATGCCCAACAACCTGGTGGTCAGGCATTTGGGAGGCACTATGCAAGGGGCTTTGCAGGCACTGTCAATTGGCATTGCCTGCAAAGCCCCTTTTGGCCTAGGCCTGCCATTACTTCCCCACACCTTATGTCAGGTGTGGGGCAGGTGGATGTGGCTTGGCCAAAATGGGCTGGTGAGAGAAATGAAGGTTCTCCATCCCGGGGCATGATAGTAACACAGTATTTCTTGCAAGGAGGACAAACAAGCTATCTGGTCTCAATTTGCTGATCTAATAATGAAACAAGCATCCTATTCCTATCTATTCCACTGGCATTAAAAGGTATCTACTCATGAGCAAATCCACTGTCTGGGCTGCCACTCAAAATTTTAGCTTCTAGTCTTTCCAGTCAGTTGACCTGCTGCAGCCTAACCAACCATTTTTTCCCAAAAGTGGCCAATGCTCTGTGCAGATAATAAGAAATGTGTTTTCCCACAAACTGAGAAATGGATTTACCAGTTAAGCCATTCACAATGTGGGACAAACAGCAGCAGCTGTTCTTGGAATACATCATAGAATAAATCTGGTCTAGTTACTGATATTCAGACTGGAACTGCAAGCATTAAATACAAAAATGCTTAGCTAATTAATTTGTTTCACCACAAGACACAACAGCTATGTCATTCTTTTACCTTGTAAGACCCAGTAGACATCACTGCTCTTTGCCAGTTTTTCCAGAAGAGGGGCAACTGATGTGATATTGATTTTATACTGTGTGAGGGCTTCATTGCTGCCATTGTGAATACTGATAGACCACTAAAAGAGTATTAAAAGTGAATCAGTTAGCAAACATATTTGTGGACGATATAATCAAAATGGTTCAATATCATTCACAAATCTTAGCTGATGTTTCAAAAACAGGGTAGCTGAAGTAGATAAACACAAGAAAATTCTGAACTCTGTACTCTTGGGTAAAAAGCATAGGATATTGCGAACTGCTGTTGCTAAAGGACTTTGAGGCAAATTTAAATTTTAAAAGACAACTATCTAAAATTGAGAAAACATACTATTAAAACTTTCAAAAATTATCTATTGCTCCTTCAGCAGTTTCAAATATTAAATGATACCCACAGCACACATCAGTCCCCCTATAAATTTTTATTCCATAAGACAGTAAGACCAAAGAAGGTGTTCCGTGTCAGAAGTATCTGTCTATAAAAGTACCGTATTTTTTGCTCTGTAAGACGCATCCGGCCATAAGACGCACCCAGTTTTTAGAGGAGGAAAACAAGAAACAAGAAAGCAACGCAAAGCCTCTTGAGCGAAGAGGCAGGAGCGCTCCCGCTGTGCTCAAGAGGCTTTGTGTGGCTATCCCTGAAGCCAGAAGAGCAAGAGGGATCGCTGTGCACCGATCCCTCTTGTTCTTCTGGCTTCAGCAATAGCTGCGCAGCCTGCATTCGCTCCATAAGACGCACACACATTTCCCCTTACCTTTTAGGAGGGGAAAAGTGCGTCTTATAGAGCGAAAAATACGGTAAGTAATATTGCTCTAGAACCAGAAAGACAGTGAGAGAAAGAGATGGGGATGCACAGGGAAGCTTAGGCTGTAAGTTACAAGACAGAAGTGTGAAAGGTTAGTTAATGAAAAACAATACAGAGAAAGAAGATCATATGGGATTTTAAAGGTCTGAATTAGAAGACTACTGTTTTAATTTTCATTTGGCCATTACAGTGACATATTACATGAATAGCTTACCACAGCAGCTCCTGCTACAACTATGTGAGGCTTTGGAGAAGAACCCTTTGGAACAGTAAAAAGGAGGTTAGTCTTTTCAGTGTCTTCATAAAGGACATGAATAATCAAATGTACTGTACTGCAAAAATTAATCACATTAGTCCACATTTAAACCTCATTTTAAAAAGGAAAAACCTCCACAAGCTTTAATCAATGTATAAAATATGCTGCAGTTGATTTGGAAGCAATTAAGTTATGAGCGACATTAGGGACGCGGGTGGCGCTGTGGGTAAAACCTCAGTGCCTAGGGCTTGCCGATCGCATGGTTGGCGGTTCGAATCCCCACGGCGGGGTGAGCTCCCATCTTTCGGTCCCAGCTCCTGCCCACCTAGCAGTTCGAAAGGACCCTTAAGTGCAAGTAGATAAATAGGTACCGCTTTATAGCGGGAAGGTAAACGGCGTTTCCGTGTGCTGTGCTGGTGCTGGCTCGCCAGAGCAGCTTCGTCACGCGGGCCACGTGACCCGGAAGTGTCTCCGGACAGCGCTGGCCCCCGGCCTCTTAAGTGAGATGGGCGCACAACCCTAGAGTCGGACACGACTGGCCCGTATGGGCAGGGGTACCTTTACCTTTACCTTAAGTTATGACATTATAGAAGCACTGCTGATGAAGGGAATTGTGGAACTGTTTTCTACTTAGCAAAATCTAGAATGTCACTTAAATTAAATATCCACTTAACTACACTGTACAATAGGACATTACTTTGTAATTGTTTTGTTTTAACAATGCAACATCCTAAACCTCTGCAATTTTCACCAAGGAAAGCAGATTATAAACCCCTTTGCAAAGTGAGCCAATCAATTCTTTCCTGTAAACAGAAATGCTACATGCATGCTGTCCTCCCCACTTTCAGGTTAAAAAACAAACCGTTTTTTGTTTTTGTTTTGACCTCCTTCTTATTTTTCACTAGCCCTATTCCTGGAAGCCATCACTGCCTGAGTTGGCTCTTTGAAAGAATAATGGGCATTTTAAATAAATAAAGATACACTTCAGAGTGCCAGTGAATATTGAAAAAAACTGAGGGATAACTAGCAATTTAATTTATACTATATTGAAATTAATTTCAGGACCAGAACTGCCTAATGTACCCCCACCCCACCCCTGGGATTGTTGAAATATATTGCCATAAAGCAGAGGTTTTCAACCATTTTGAGTCCACAGCTCCCTTGACAAACTACATTCTTTCTGTGGCACCCCTGTGGGGCTCAGGAGCCCAGTTATGTCACCCCTTGCCTGCAGAGCTGGCAGGCTCTCATCCCTTTTCGAACAGCCTCCCTTGTGGAGTTTTCCCTCAGCCTCCTCTTCCTTCTCCTTGGGAGTCCTCCGGGCAGCAGCTGCTGCTGCTTCCCCTAATCTCTGACCAGCCCCCCCCCACATCCCAAAGAGAGGTACTTCCTCACAGTGCCCCATAGGAGCCTGGGACTTGCTTGTTCATTCCCAGCAGCAAGTGATAGTGGACTGGCTGGCTGGGCTCCCTCACCCACTTGCTTGCTTACTCTGAGGCTGCCTCAGCTCCTGGCAATCAGCACCCCTGGCCAGCTCCAGAGTATTCATTCACCTGGGGAGCTTGTAGCCAGGGCTGCTGCAACAAACAGCCACATAAGCCTTGGGGAGGCAAAGGCATCAGAGGAGGGAGGGAAGGAAAGAGGGACAGAGGTCAGGGATGCCCGCAGCACCCCTGAGCATCATTCAAGGCATCCCAGGGTGCCACGGCACACTAATTGAAAACCACTGTCATAAAGGAAGTTCAATATTACAACTCACTTCAGTCCAAGATTTGATAAGCTGCTTCATAGAGCCATTAACTTCCGGATACCACAGAAATTCCTGAGAGGAAATGGATGAGTTTATTAGCAAGTGGTTTACTCTCCTGAAACAGTCAGGTAAGGTCAGCACTAAATGTCACAACTATTGACAGAATCAGCAGCGTTCCATCTGCAATTTCTACCGCAAATGTATAACACCTGTAAGTAAAAATATGCATGTACACTAAGATCCTGCGCTCATGTTTGGAAAACTTGCGGTCCTGGGCCAATCAGGTTTTTTGGACACATGTATACACACATCTTCTTTTAATAATTTATGCACTTTTTGTAGAAAACATTGCTGCTGTTACTTAAGAGGACATAGTGAGAAGGAGACTTGACTAACTGCTCAAAGAGGAAACTGGATTGTTTTCAGTGGGAGGAGTATTTTTGAAATGATTTTTGTTATATTCTGTAGCACTTAATTCCTTCAGATATTCAAGTATTTGTCCTCACAATCCTCCTAAAACCTACGGCAAGACAGCCAAGGAAAACCAGCCCAAAGCAAAATCTTCCTGTGGTTGTGTGTGTTGCAGCCAGTGCAAACTGTGGTAGCTCAACTACTGAGGTAGGATATCACTTATAGATTACCCCAGTGTTGAAAGAATTGCATTGGCTGCCAATTAGGTACAGGGTTAGTTCATGTTTTGGCATATAAAGCTCAAAACAGCATGGGACAAAGACCCTGAGGTCCCTTTCAAATCTATGATTCCACTGTCCAAAGGAGGGCCTCTTGCAAACACCATCTTGTCAGGAGGTCTGTTCTGCACAATGTAGGAATTGCTTTTAGTGTTTTGGTACCTACCATCTTAATTATTTCCCAATTAGTATCAGACAGGATCCATCTCTGTTGCCGTTTTGGCACCTACTGACGGCTCCTTCAACAAGCCTTTCAAGTGGAGATATTTCTAAGTCTGCATATGCATTGAAATTTTTTTGGTTTTGTTTTATCACTTGTTTGCTGCCTTGGGCTCCTTTAGGAGGAAAGGTGGCATATAAATTTTATAATAAAATATGACAGTACTACTTTAGTAAATATTTATTTCTAAAGGTTTTTTATGTTGCTATACTTCACCCTGGTGTTTTGTGAAAGGGTGGTATATAAATATTATAAATAAAATAAATACACATGCCAACTTCTTTTCTTCATTCTAGTTTAGAAGCAACTGGGTATGCTTACCACTTTAAGTGAAGATGATTTGTCTTCAAAAGGAATGTTTCCATGCTGTCAAAGTAAGAAACATTCAAAAATTACGCCAGTTTCCAGAAATCCATGACTGTATTCATGTTATGCTAAATTCTTAATTTGATGTTGCCTGGTTTGTTTTGCTTTTTAACTATAAATAGCAGTTGCCTGAAAAGAAGGAGGAGATAAGGGAGAGAGGGAGCAGGAAACAGGTTTGGGACTATGATGCAGCAAGAGAAGTTCTTAATCCTATCCTCTCACCACAGTCCCTCACCCCCACCCTGCTTCAAGGTTGCATCAGGAAAAAGGGTGCCATTGGCAGCTTCCCTCTTGATAAGAACAGCAGCTTTGAGGACCAGCGGAAGACAAGAGATTTTCATCCAGGACTCCAGCGTAGGCCTATATTTCTAATGGTCCAAAACCTGATTACAAGCTCTGCAACTGCTATTTAAAGGGAGGAAAATAAACACACAAAGCCAAACATATAATGGGGGGGCTTTTCAGGCACACTTCAATTATTCTCCAGTTAGTACAGTGCCCTTTAGGTAAAATAGCTGCAAACACTGACATGCTCTTATTTTCAAGGGCTAGTCCTTAGTGAGACTAGGTCCCACCCCACCCCCCACCCCCAATCTTTCCAAGTCGCCCTCTACTAACAGCCCTGGAGCACACCATGAAGACTTTCTCTTTGCCTGGAGTTCAGACTAAAATGATATCTCAGACTGCCTCCTCTCTCTCTCTCCTTGGGTTCCTGACTTCATTCTTCTAAGATAGTCCTCCTCCTTTATCTTTATCTTTATCTATATCTGAAGTGTAGCACTGACCAAAAGCTCAATCCTCCCTCCTTCTTTCCCTCTCTACTTCTGGGTTCACCTGCAGTTTGACTGTACCCAAAGAACAGTGCCACTTTAGGATGCCGCAGGCTACAGCTAAGTAAAATAGGCATCAAACTTGCACATGGTTAAGGCACAGTGAAGCCAATGGTTGAAATGTATTCATGCCACCAACTTCTAAATACAAAGTTCCCAACCGCATTCTTCAGGTTTCCACTATTAACCACCTGTCTTTTCAGCAATTGGTTCTTTTCTCTGAAACTGCTTGATTAGCTCTCTTTCTGAAGTTCCCACATTCATTAGCCTGGTTCAGACCTCACATTCCTGATCTGAAAACTAGGGTGCCTCCACCATCTGCTGCCTCCTCCCATTCAGACTCCCCTCATTCATCCAGCTTGATACAAGACTTTGTGGTAAATTTCAGCACAACAAGACAGGATGCCCATATTGAGAAACTGGCTTGAACACTCTTCACAAATCAGAACTGGAATCCAGAAACAAAGTGTAATTTACAATCCTGGTGTGTACCCAGTGCTCAAACCTGAATTTCCTGGTACTGACATCCTATGTATGACCACCTGCTCCTGAAGAGACTATCAATGTCCTGAGAGAACTGCTGGGGCAACCTAACCCCCACTTTCCCTGGGCTTAAGCCCTGTGTACGAAGGCCTGCCTCGAGGGAAGGCAGAGTAGAAAACAAGAAAAGCCTAGGTCAAGGAGCTACTGCCACCAGCTCCTGTAGGCAGCCTAAAAATATTTTGCAATATTTATTTGTATTAACATTTTAAATCATAAACCACCTTGGGAAGAAGGCACTGTACAAATGCAATAAAGCTAGGCATGTAAGGGGAGGGAGAAAGTGGTGGAGGAACACGTGGGCATACTGTGTTTTCCCAACCCAACCCAACCTGATTTGGTGGACCAGGAATGTGATGTCTAAACTGAATCAATACATTTTCAACAGAAATACCTTTACAACTAAGGTATTACAATGACTGTAGTTTTCTAGTAATAACTGTGATAAAAGTAAAATATAAAAACCATACCTTGACTCCATCCTCCTTAATTTGAGGGTTCAGGAGTTTCACAAATGAGTAGAACAGCTGACGAATCCTAGAATCACCTATAAATGCAATATGTTTGTCTACGAGGCAGGTTTTTGCTTCACTGTAAAAACAAACATTAATATTGATTTTTTTCAAGTATGACAGAGCAAAAGTAATTCACCCCCACAAAACTGCACTGTAGAATATTCTGAGCACCAACTTATATCCCATATCCTTGATAATTCAAATTTGTGGGAACAAATTTTCCTTTTTCTTATAAAACACTACAAATATTGTTATATAAATTGTTATGTTATACTGTCCTGCCATTTTTACATTCTATTAACTAAGAAAAGAGAATTGCAACACTGTAAGACTGTGCTGGGCCTCCAACTCAACCAGTTACTGGGAACTGCAGGTGGGCAGAGTGCTGCTGCGCTTATGTCCAGCTTGCAGGCTTCCCACAGGCATCTGGTCAGCCACTGCGAGAATAGGATGCTGGACTAGATGGGCCATTAGCCCGATCCAACATACTCATCTTATGCTCTCAAGTAAGCACATTTTTTAAGAAATCAAATTCAAAAAGTAAGGTTGCTCTGAAGAGGGCAGGACCCACTGATGCACCCTTCTCTCTGGTATATTCATTCCCTGGGGTGACTGCAAAAGGCTTTAGATAATGTGAGAACTCCTCTTTACATAATATCTAGCTGCTACTAAAACAGTTTGAGATCAACTCTGGTAGAGGTGGGGGAATAGAGGTTTTATTTCCTTCACATTTTCTTTTATAGCCTTAAAGCAATCAAGGTACACAAACTTGCTCACTGACAGGCACCTTAATAGTGCAATACTTTGTGCACCAGGGCTGATGGAGGCATTATTAGATGCATTCTTCCTCAATCTGGTGCCCTCTGGATATTTTGGACTACAGTTTCCAACAGCTCCAGCTTGCATGGCCATGCTGGCTGCAGCTGATGGGAGATGTAGTTCAAGATCTTTGGAGGGCACTGGGCTCAGAAGGCTGAACTAGAGAATGAGGTGGGTGGGATTTGCCTAAATGGCTGCTTTAAGCAGCAGTTTGCAATTGTAGGCAAACTGAAATGGTTATGTGAGAAATTTCTTCATAGTAAGCAAGATACAGACTAACAATCATTACTATTTGTTTCATTTCTGCTAATAAAGTGAAACCACTGATAGGGATAGGGGAAACTCACATGAGCAGCACAAACACATTATGTGCCATATGATACTCACAGTGTAGGTCTAAAAATGTAATAATCCCAGAAACTAAGACTTTACATTTAAGTGCAGACTTACGATATTTTCTTCTTTAAGGGAAAATTTAAAAGTAGAATACCTTACCTCTGCTTATATTTGTGCATCATACAGCCGTGAGGCTGCCATACTTTCTCCCCAAGAAATCTTCCACTAGAGAGAAGGTGCTCACAACTATCATCACCTTAAAAAAATAAAACACAGACTGTATTATCATTCATCATCTTTTGGTCAACAGCTGTGTTCACAACCCACATAGTAAAGACAGGGATTTTATTGCCAGTCAGAAAAGTTAAAAACATCTGGGCTTCATTTTAAAAAGGCTACATTGAGTACACCTCCATTATCAATCCTTCAATAACATACTACTACTATATAGTAGTGACATCAAATGTTTTTGCCAATATGTACTTTAAAATGAAGGATCCCAGTTTCATTTGTTCTGCTTAGTTCACACACATGCACAGTCCAGTTACAACTGGCAGCTTTAAAAAACTATGTTCAATTTAACCATCATAATTAACCCCCGAAGGCCAGGATTAAAAATTAAGTCATTTAAGATCCATGTAAGATTAATGAGGAATGAAGCCAAGGAACTCTGTGCTCACTTCCAAACCAGTGCAGTATGTGTAGCTTTGTCACTTGTGTGATCAAAATTGTGCATTAAAAAAAATTTAAACACATGATCATTACACTCTAAAAAGACATCGGTTTTACAGTTTGATTACTGGATTGCACTGCTCTGACAACAAAATTGTAATGACAGAAAAGTATTACACTTTAATGTAGGTGCAACAAAGCCAAGAAGGAAACGTTGAGAAAATCTTAACAGAAGAAGAAAGCTGTATCACTCCTACTTTGCCCAGTGGCATGAGGTTTGAAGAAAAGCTACCTCTACAAAATTAACAAAGGACATTTGCCTAGCAACTGTGTGAAACACAATCACTCACAACAATTTTGTTGTTTGCCCTGCACTTGGCCAGCTTCTAACCAAACTGAAAATTAATAGTGTGGGTAAGAGAATACGTCTGGTGCAGGATTAATTTAGGTAACAGCTGTTATCTAGTAAAGAGGCTTGATTATGACCCGACTTGTACAGCAAGGACCAAAAGATGGCCTGCTAGGTTCTGGTAAAGAAGAATATGGGATCACATGAACAGCATCTGCATCTACCCATGTGAAACATCCTCCAACACTGAAGAAGACAGCTTCTGCTTACACAAGGCTATATTTGGTTTTTAGAATTACAGACATTTACACCGTCCTCCAAGTACTCCCATCTCTCCCTCCTTGTTCATGTTACCTCAAATTCTTAAATTCCGTAGTTTCAGTTTATAGTGATCAGAAAGAAAATAGAGTTGTGTAAAAAAAGTAATAATGTAAGAAGAGCACTGCTGGATTAGACCAAAGGCTGATCTAGTCCAATGTCCTCTTTTCAGTGGCCAACTGAAGCCTATGAGAGGAGTACAAGAACGCTGCCTATCTTATCATTCTTTTCACAGTAGTAATTTAAACTAAATATTTTTAATTACCCAGATACAAAGCATAATTCCTTGAAGTGTCCTTCAAGATGCATGTCATGTGGCCATTAAATAATGTTATCATTCCTTAAATTTCAGTGCATAATATGCTAGTATTCCTAGAGCAAACAACTACAGGTATATTCTAAATTACCAATTTATTTTAAAATAGAAATAAAATCTTTAGGGAGCTTATCAAAATTAAGAGGCTAGGACTTCTTCTGGAGCTACTTCTCATCAGAAAAACATCTGGGACTCTTGGGTCAGGACATTGCCAGCACTCCATGCATCAGCACTGGTGATCACACCCTTCAGGTGTTAAGATGATTTTGTCTACCTGGGCTCCACCATAACCCGCAACCTTTCCACTGATGCTGGACAAGCTTATTGGTAAGGCAGCCACAGCAATGGTGCACCTCTCCAAAAGGGTATGGGAGAATGTGATGCTAATGACCAATACCAAGATGAAGGTCTACACATGGCAGGACACAGCCTCAAACAAATACGTGCTCTTCCAAGTTCTGTCTCAGTGACGTCTATACTGGCTTGGTAATGTACATAGGATGGAAGATGGCAGGATCCCCAAGGATGTGCTCCACAGGGAGCTGGCAGCAGGCCTGTTGACAAACCAACTCTGTGTTATAAAGTTGTTTGCAAACGTGACATGAAGGCTGACAATATTAACCCTGCCATGTGGGAATGCCTTGCAAACAACTGCAGTACCTGGAGACAGACAGACAGGTTGTGTATCCAAATCAATGACCAGAGGAGGAATGACCGCTGGGAGGAGCACGGAAAGAAGAAACGCCATAGTGCATCTGCACCAGCGAAACCAAACACCTTCATCTGCCCCAGCTGCAATAAAACATGTTTCTCCTGTATTGGTCTCTACAGCTGCAACAGGCAGTGTTAACTCCCCAATGGTGTAACTTTACCCTCAATGGTACACTCTTCCATTGTCTCTCGAGACAGATGGATGCCAACAATAACAAGCTTCCTTATCCCTTTTTGATAAAGTTGCAAAATGTTGCACTTTCGGAATAGTTTATAGAAGCATAGAATCAGACAATTGTAGGGTTGGAAGGGACCACGAGGGCCATCTAGCCCAACCCCCTGCAATGCAGGAATCTTGTGCCCAGTGTGGGGCTTGAACCCATAACCCAGAGATTAAGAGCCTCGCGCTCTGCTGACTGAGCTATCCCAGCTCTTGTCAGTTTATGTTTTCAAATGAAAATTATATCAAGGTACTCTGGAGATAAAGGATTTTTCTTAAATCGAAAGTTAATTAATTGTCTCACAAGGAAAAAAATGTGAGGCTAAATAGATTTTTTAGATTACCAAGAAATTAATTTTTATTTTCAGAAAATGTAGTTTCTGGTGTTAAAGGTAACTGATAAAATAAAAATCAGACCCACAAGGCCAAGCTGGTACCCAGAAATAATGCTGTACAGGTGAGACTTACAAGTGGAAATTTCACTTGTTGTCATCTATAACACCCACATCAATGATCTTCAGCAATCCTAGAGAGTAGTATTTCCCTCTCACAGGCTCTGGGAGAATTCCCAGTATCGAGTACTCGATTTCGTGCTGAAGAGCAAAACAACTTGTGGGAAGCTACAAGGACCCCATATAAGGAAGAATTATTTAAAATTACACAGCCACAAGTGCTTCTATATGGAAATTTATTTCAATGTTTGGGTATTGTAAGAACACTCTTTTAATCCTCCAGCTTGGAAGGCTTTTCTTTGGCTCTTATGTGTTAAGATTTTGCTGTCTTATTGATTTATGCCATTTTACTCTACTGTAGATTTTATTTTAGTACGATGTTTACTGTTTGAGGAGACCTTTGGGCCAAAAAATGGTATCTAAATTAACTGAATAATAATATAAACATAGATGCACCAATCCCCACAAGCCACATGGCACCATATATTGAGTGAAGTGATGACCACCCACTCACGCAAAAGGCTTGAGGAATTCAAAATACTCTTACTTCCAGTCACTCTGAACAAAAACATCTGAAAGCTTTTTAGGGCAGTAGGTAGGATTTCAGCTTGAGTTTAGTTTCTGGATGTTAGTAACCCAGATTCAAATAGCCCACTCAAATGTAAGAAGCTCACTGGGTGGCCTTGGTCAAGTCACTACTCAAGTAACATTTCTCCTTTGTAGCAAACAAAATAAAGGTGTATTGGAGACTCAATTCAGATGCTGGAGTAGATATGGGAAGCATTGCTTCCCCAAACACTTCTGTAGGGAGCCCTGCTTTGTCTGGTGTTCTCCTCTGTCACCACTGCTGTTCTTGAAAGCAAGCATATACATTTCTATTTACAGTGTCAAATGAGGGCAGAACAAAAAAGAAGGGAGTCATAGCAGGGAGAGGTCTTAATCTTTTAATTTAGGATCTCGAAGCCACACTCTTTCAACGTATCTCAAGCACACCACCTTCTCCTACCTTGCATGTCAGCAGCTTCTTGCAAAGCTGCCAGTTTGCATGATTTACACTCCTCACTCCCACACATTTTCTTTGTTTATACTGCACACTCCTAATTAGCTAGCACAGACCTCAGGCTAAGAATTTAGTTAAACAGCAACCCCGAAACCGCTACAACTTCCTGTGTGGGTAATAATTTCTTTTAAGAAAAGAAAAGAAAAATGCAGCCAGCCCTTCTGAAGGGAGGGATCGCAGCTCAGTGAGAGAGCACATGTTTTGCCTGGCAGAAAGCTCCAGTCTCAAGTCCTGGTATCTCCAGGAGCAGAGAGTAGGTGTTGGGAAAAGGGGCATCTGCTTGAGACCTTAGAGAGCTACTGCCAGTCAGAGTTTGCAACACCTGGCCAGCCGGACCAATGGCCTGTCCCTGGTTAGAAGGGCATTTTCTGTCTTCATTTTGCATTTTTATGTCGTGGACCACCTTGTGATCTTCGGATGAAGGGCTGCACACACATTTAATAAACAAAGTAAAAAATGTTGCGCCCAAAGTCAAACAAGCCTGGATTGTTTAATTTGGACAGCTGCTTCCTGCAGAAATCCGCACGGACCGGCTTCTCCTCTGCCCTTAAGGCGCTTGCTGCGGTTTTCTTGTCTGTTTGCAAACGCAAGCTGGAGCTGCCGAGGCAGGCGGATGTGGCGTGGCGGCGTGCGGAGAAAGGATGCTCACGCCGGGGCGAAGTTTGGCAGGTGTCAGTCACCCTTCCTCACCCAGCTAAGCGCTTGCTTTGCAACGGCTTGGAGGAAATGGGGGGAGGAGGGAGAGGCGCACCTGCCTCCCAGAGACACCTGAAGTGGCGGCTTTCGCCCGATGGCAAAGGAAGCCCCTTCCAAGGAGGCGGCTCCCCCCTGAACTGTGGCGGTGGAGGAGGAGGAAGAGAGGGGCCCCCAAAACCACGGCCAACTTCTCCGCTCCCTATCTCATCTCGCCCCTCCACACACGCCCTCCTCCTCCTCCTCCCCGCCGCCCCTTCCTCACCTCGGTACCGGCGCGAGGCGGCGTGGCAGGCGGCGAGCAGCAGGACGGCGCCCAGCGCCAGCGCCTTGGCGCTCCTCACGCTGAAGTAGTGGTTGATCTCGCGCTTGCCCAAGGTGTAGGCCAGGGCCGCCATCTTGGCTCCTCCATGACAACAGTGCGCGAAGGAGCGGGCGGCGGCGCACGGGCAGCTGCGCTGGGTCCCCAGCGGGGACGGCGGAGGTGAGAGGAAGAGCCGCAGCTTCTGCCGCCGCCACCAGCGCAGGGGAGAGAAGCCTAGGGAGGAGAGCCCCGCGGAGGCAGGCGGGTCGTCGGTGTCCTCTTCCTCCGCTTCGCTCAAGAGCGGCGGCGGCGGCGGCAGAAGCGCGGCCCCCTCCCCTTCCTCCTCGTCCGGGCGCCGCCGCTTCACCTCAGCAGCCAGGGGAGCGCCCGCTTTCCCGTCCGGTTCCTGAAGCGGCGGCTGCAGCTGCTGCCGTTGCCCCCAACGGCCATCCGCGCCCCCCTCGCGCTGCTGATGCGGCGGCGGCGGCGGCTGGTCCGCTACCGCCCCTCGCGGCGGCGCCCCGGCGCCTGGCCCCTCCTCTGCCGCAGCCATGGAGGGGAGCGGGCGAGCCCTCGCGCCTCTCTCTTTCTCACGCGAACAAGGCGCGCAAGGGCGGCGGGGAGAGGGGGAAAGCGAAACTTGGCGAAAGAAGCGAACTTCTTTCCCTCAGCCCGCCCGACTCGGGTGTTCGCATTGGACGTGGGAGCAGCAGCCGCTTCCTCCTCCTCCACCTGCCTAACCTGCTCTGCTGGCTTGGCAAAAGGAAGGGGACGCCGCTCCCGTGGGTGGGGATCAAAGTCTCTTCGGGCACCGTCACTCTGTGGGGCAGGCCCTGGCAGAGGTGGGAAGCCCATGGGCAGGGCAGGATAGCCCTTTCCCGCTTGCCACCACCCCTCCGGGACAGGTAGTGCCGGAGCCAACGAGAGCTACGTTGACTAACCAGCCCTTGGCAGCCCGGCCCACCCTCCAGGAACTGGACTTACATTAAAAGTCACCCAAGTTGGCCGCTGTCCGTCAGCACATCTTACTTAGGGTTGCAAATCCCCGAGTGTTTTCAGAGGGGTGAGGCAGTGCCGCGACTTTACTTGAACTCTGGCGTGGTTACAGTATTTCCTTTTAGTGACCCTGCCCTACATGTCATTTTTCTTTAGTTCTCTGCCATAGTCATTGCTGCATCATCTTTTGAAGGTCCGCCTCAGTTTTAGCCCCATTCACCTGTTGAAAGCATCAATGGCAACCCTGTGTGCTTAATTACTTTTCCTGAACCACTGGACATACTGACAACTTGGTATTTTTTTATTCTTTTTTGTTTCAGGGTTAGGAACAGAAATTGCCACCTGCCCGCATATCTTCCTTGTATTCGTTTGCTCCACACCATGCATAATCGATGCAGCTCAAATATGTCTCTTCTTGCCTTTTTTCTAAACTAAAAAGCCCCAAATGTTGTAATCCTATTGTCATAGGGAGCTGCTCCAGACACTTGGCTGTTTTCCGAACTTTTCCCAGCTCTGGCTGCAATGTCTTTTTTGAGGTGAGCTGACTACAGCCTGTACACAGGATACCTCCCCATACCTTTGCATAATGGCGTTATGGTACTGGCAGTTTTATCTTCCATCCCTTGGCTAATTATCCTTAACTTGGGATTTGCCTTCTTCACGGCTGCTGCCCACTGGGTTGACATCTTTGTTGAGCTATGCACTGTGCCTTAAAAGCCTCTTGCCTGGTCACTTGCCATCAGTTCAGACACTATTAGCATATACATGAAATCAGTTTGGAGAGATCCTTTTGGAGCTCCTCACAGTCTCCTTTTGTTTGAACCATCCTAAACAATTTGGTATCATCAGCAAACTTTGCTACCTCACTGCTAACTCTTAACTCTAGATCATTTATGAACAAATTAAGAAGCAGAGGTCCACTTTCTACAACCCTCCACTAGAAAAATATGTCCATTCATTTCTACTCTCTCTTTCATGCTCCTTTGCCAATTACTGATCAATAAGAGGAGCTCTCACTTGATCTCAGTCTCAGTCCTCTGACTGCTTACTCAGGAGTCATTTTGAAATTTAAGTGCACAGAGTTGACTGTATCATCTCTATTTGCTTATTGGCACACACATAACTAAAAGGTTAATGAGACAGACTAGGACAGACTTGCAAAAGCCTTGCTGGTTTCATTGCATTTGGTTGCTGAATAGCAGCCGTCCTTTAATCCTTGACGATGCTCTACTAACAAATGTAAACATTAGCACAACACATTATTTGAATTTATTTCCTGTATTTGCTGAAAGGTTCCCAGGGGAATAATTCCCTAGACGTTGTGGAAGCTGTTTTTAGCTAGAATTCATAGCTCTCAAAAATACTCTGGTGACATGAGAACTTCCTTTGTCCATTGTTTTTGCTTCATCTGCCTTAACGAATCCCATGTAAAAATGTTTACAGTGTAAGAATTGTGAATGTAATGTTTATTTATTGATGTGACTTTTGAATTCTTTTAACAACACAAACAAAGAACCATGGGAATTTTTGTTCTCTTAGTATTTGCTAAAACAAAGGAATGGCTGATTTATGATTGCTGGAGAAAGCTGAAAACTGGTTGCCTTGATGTGCTGATGGACCACTCAGGCATGGCATATCTAGACTATAGTTCTGCTGAGCACTATACTCTCATTGAATGTGGATACTTTGGACAAGCCATATAGGTGAGATCTGAAGCTGGCAGTTCTGGTCTGCATGTAGCTTTTTTAGATTGCAGGTTTCAATAGGCAAGCAACACCTTAAAGGGGAAGGGGTAGAATTATATATGCATGCATCAGCATACTGTGGTTATTATTGTTATACCCTTTGGTAGGGGATGATTTGTGTCTTCATCAGGGAGGACAAACTAGGGAGCTGGTCACAGAAGCTTACAATTTTTTGTTCAACACAGCACTATGTCTATTTTTGCCCTTTATTTTCGTAATAACTAATAAAATGGGTGATATGTTAGAAAGGAGGAAAAAATGCTGGGGTGAGGGGTATTTCCCTGGTGTGTAAGATTGCAGTCTTAGACTTTGTTTCAGTTGTGGGTGAAGAGGGCTAAGGCTGTAAAACAATGCATTCTTATTCAAGAGGAAGCCTGACTGCTTTCTCCTCTGATTAAACAAAAATGAGACCAGGCTGTGTAAAATGAATGTACCTCCAGATATCCTTTTTATTGTCCGTTCATGATGCTTTGTGCTCTTGATGCTCTCAGAGTGGTCATATGTGATCCTGCTTTCAGTAATACTTGTCCTTCAACAGCTCCAGGAGGGTAGCCACATTGCTTCATTTCCAGTCAGTGTTAATCCTGTAGCTTTCTTCTAAATTTGAATACCACAAATGCTCTGGTTTATTTCTGTTGCACAATAGTTTGCCCAGACAGCAATAATGTTAACATCAGGGAAGAAGCACTACTGAATAACACATAAAGCATAAAAAATCCACCACTCATTCACAATTATTGTGGCAAGAACATGTTGCAGAATGCAGCCATAACAGAATGCCAGTCTAGCAGGGGTCCCAAGATAGAGGCTTTAAAGAAATGATTTTGAGCTGGGGCTTGAAAAAAAGAGAAAAAGAAGTGGCTCCACATATGTGTTCAGGCATAGAGTTCCTGCCATGCAAGACTGGAAATGAGAACAGGCAGGGCAATTTCTTCCCAGCCGCCATTGCATTGAACTGGTGGAATCAGGCAGAGCTATTTTGTATACATATTTCTGCAAAGCAATTTTCCTTAATACAGTGCATTTTTGCACACATTACTTGGTTGGAGAACTGCATTGCAAAATTCAGAGAAGTGCAAATTTGAAAGAACTGTTGCATGTTAATCCCCATGTTGGTTTGGAAAGTGCAATTTAGGTACGTTTGCCTTTAAATGCGAACTGATTTTAATTGCTTCCACGTCCCTAGTGATGACATTATTTTACTTATATACTGTAAGAGACTTTTAATCCACCCTTTCCCATAATGTCCCAGGGAAGGTTGCAAAATTAAACATTAACATACAACAAAACAATGTAAAACAAACCAAAGAATGTACTGCCAACAGAATCACATTAATTGTAAATGTCAAAAGCCAGGGTAAAGAGGTGTGTCTTCAACAAGTGATATAAACCATACAATGAGAATGCTTGCTGGTCTAGTTGAAGTGGACAGGCTCTTGCAAGTCTTTTTGTGAACCATTTGAAAAGCATTTTCTGATGAAATCACTCACATCTGATCCAGTTTGGAAATAACTGGCATGGCAGCTCTCTAATGGGGGCACCTGAAGTCACTGCTTCTCCAGTTAGGTTCAATTGGTTTTCATTAGTTTCTTCTGAGGAGGCAGATATGTTGTATGAAAACTCTTGGCCCACATCACACCCTTTTGACCTTGTCTGTCTTACTGGGTTAAAGCCTCAATGTATTACTAATGTGGAAGGTGTGCTGTGTTTTGCCTTCAAACGCAGTCACTAATTCACCCAACTTTTGAAACACCATAATTAGGCTGTACCAACATCAATTATTACAGGGCACCTTGAACATTCCACTTTTGGGGCAAGGCATGGAGACTTCCAACCCTGTTGGGAGAGGCCAGGCTTTGCATGGAGTTATTTTGCATGCTCTACTACTAAACTGAGGTCTACCATGTAAAAGGGGTCCATGTTCTTCAGAACTGTGTTTCTTTTTTAAACAACAAGGAACCAAGCACCTTTGGGAAAGCTACAAGCTCGGCTTTGAGGCAACAGCTTTCCCTTGCCATGCATCAGCTGAATTGTCCCTGAACACAGAGATTTCATTCAGTTACCATTTACTTGCTTACTTACTTATTGCCTTTATTTGCCACCTTTTTCTCCAAAGAGTTCAAGGTGGCAGACACGGTTCTCTCCCCATCCTCGTTTAATCCCCATAATAATCCTATGAGGTAGATTGGACAGAGACACACTGAATTTCATAGTGGAGTGGGGATTTGAATCCTGGTCTTGCAGGGCCTAGTCTAACACTCTAATCACTACAACACACTGACATTCCACCTATTCAGCAGGCCTTTCATTTCCCCCAAGTATTTTAAGAAAGCTATTTAGTGGCCATCACTGCTCTCTTGTGGTTCCTGAATTCTGTAAGTTAAATCATGTATGAAGAAGCATCTTCCTATCCGCCCAACCAAGTGCATTGAAAGCCTGCTTCTGCCACAAACAAATTACAGTTGCTTCTGGGCAACGCATAGTTGTGAAATTTATATACAACTTTTTACCCCAACCGTAGTTCCAAAGTGGTTTTCAGACCAATGAAACAGCACCAATGCTGCAGTACATTTTAAAATATACTGACCATAGCTAAAACATCCTTAAAAAATCCAGCATGATGTAACTGGTCTGGTCAGTTCACTCACAATCCACCTAACCTCTGTGTAATTTTTGTGCAAGCATATTGGGATGAATGCTAAACTAACAGGTCATTTGGAGGAGCCATATATCGGGGGTATCTTCAGTACCACACCTGTTGACTAACAGCAGAGCACACATGGGTCATTTTGCTAGGTGTTCTCATTTTTTGATTTTTTATTTACTATGGTCAGGAAGAACAGTGGGAAAGGCAAGTAGCAAAAATGACAGGGGTGTTTCCTGGCACCATCACAAAAGCCATTTGTTCAACAGCAATCTGGGAGTGGGTAGGATAAGGAGAAGGGTCAAAATCAGAGCCAAATCAGCACATCAGGAATGCCCATTGGTGTCGATGGATTATTACTATCACT